ATATTATTTTTATTGTGATAAAAAATTCTTAAAACAAAAAATTTTCATGAATAATTTTTTTTTTTTTTTCATTTTTGGTTGACAATCAAGTGGATTATTTAGAGGGGCTATAGATTAGGCACAATAAAGAGGAGAGAGAGAGAGAGATGTATGTAACGTGAAAAGTGATGTGTGGTCATTTTCATGGTTTGTCGTCACAAATGCAAAAAGTGGGCCACGTGAGTTGACCCCGCACCTCACGTGCAAAAATACAAAAGGACATATATGCAAACACTACTTGATGGGCCAACCAACCAAACACTATTTTGGGTCAGGTTGGGACCCAATCATGTTAACCTAATGCCAAAAATATAATCCAAAAAAACTGAAAATTGAAATTTCATAAATTGTAACATTACTTGAAAATAGGGAAAAAACATTTTTTTAAAATTTTATAATATTTTCTCAGTTTAAGAAATCAGAAAGTATGGACATGTATACCTAATCCTCTCTAACATTATCGATTTTAAAAAACTTGAATTTCACTTTTTAAAATTATTGTTTTTACCTATCGAAGTAGTTACACAAATTTTATCGATAAATTTTAGTTTTTTCATATATTGCATAGAGGTTTTTGTCTAATAAATGAGTTTCTCACAAATCAAATTTTTATTTTCATCTTTAGGAAATTAAGATTTTGTTTGGTAATAACTTTTTGAGTATGTCTTAGTTAAGACAGCGTTTTATGAAAAATTATTCTATATAATGTTAAGCATTTAGCATTTTATTAAAAACTACTCAAACAAATAACAACTAAACGTAACTAAAATAAGTTAACAATTATCAAAATAGTTAATTATTTTAATAATATTTTAATAACAAAGCTAGGGTAAAATTAAAAAAAAAAAAACATATTAAAGTCCAAGAACATCAAGTGGGACTTTCAGTTTGGACATAGATTATATATATATAGATAATATACATATATGAAGAATATATAAATATTTATAGGTGTTAAGGAAAACCTAAACCTACACCCCTAGCTACCAACATTAAACAATAGAAATTCACGAAAAAGGAAACAAACATTAAACAATACAAAATAAAGCAAGTAAAGATTCCTATTCACAAAGACAGCACAACATGTTCATGAACACAAAAATAAACTAATATCCTTCTTTTTTAAATTTTTTTAATCGGTGAAATAAAAAAAATAATAAAGCAAATTCAATTTTGTATTTATCTTTACGGGATTTTATTAAAATTAAAGCAAACCATCAATAACAATATTAACAAACAAATTAGAAGGTTGAAGTCGTAAAATATATATATGCAAACGGTCACGGTTTGACCAACATTTACGATTGTGACAAACAAATTGAAATCCCTAAAAGAAAAAAAAAAAAAAGGATAAATCACCGTAAAGTGAAAAAGAAATAAAATAGAAAAAAAAAACAAAAAGGAGCTGGATACCCGCACGTGTCAGTTATAAGCAGAGAAGGGAGGTTTACAGTGACGACAAAGTACAAAACAAAGTTACTATGCAGTTATAAACAACAGAACCGCGGAAACAGCGCAACCCAACTCAAAACACTACTTAGGTGTCATTATGCCTTTGCTTAATAAATTAATTAATCATAATTAATAATTGTGGAGGAGATTAACGGAGTGTTTATTTCCCTCTAACATGGACATTCTTTTGCTAAGGAATCCGTTTAGGGATCAGTTAACAATTCTTTTTTTTAAATTTTATTGTTGTGTTATGGACAGGTGTAGGTCATTCCGTAGAATCCGCACCGCATCACGTGGTTAAAAATGCCTGCCTCCCTGCCTACTACTACCCACAACAATCGTCGCCTCCCATATCACGTGGCCAACTCACGATTGCGAAAATGCTGGGTCCCACCAATATTACGCGATCCCGTTTTGCCTCCCAATCCCACATTACTATGATTATCAACCTCTTCTTTTTATTTTTTATTTTCTATTTTTTTATTTCGTCCTCCTTTTCTCTCTCTATATTGTCCAAAAATCCACATTTACATATAAGATATTTGACTGGTGATTTTTTTTCATATAAGAGGAAATTTAGATAAAGAGACATTGTATTTTCAAATCAATTTTATCATCTTCCAGTTGAACACCGAAAAATTTGAAAATATAAGAATTGACTACTTGTTTAGTATTAATAAATTTAAAATATAAAATTTATTTACAAATTGATTCTAGATAAAATCATTTGAAATGAATTTTTTCATATTTGCATTCAAAATTAAAAATATAATTTTCTAAAATACCCTTGGTCAGTGGCAGAACTAAAACAAATAATTAGGATAAAAAACATTTTAAAATTTAAGGGTGAAATTGAAAAAATTTACCATTTTATAGATTTATAAAAATTTTTGTATTTTATGAGATAAAATTTAGAAAAAATTTAAAACTCAAGAAAGGGATAACAACTGCTTTTCTATCCCCTAATTCTGCCATTGTCTATAGTATAATATTTTTGAAAAGTTAAGAGGATGAATTCTTTGATTGTTTTGTTATAAAATTTTGGGTTGTTTAAATTTGGAAGATTTATTCGTAAATTCTATTTTTTTACTTGAATTTAGTTTAATTGTATTTAGATTCATAATTCATATTATTTATAAATATTTAATTTTTTTTATAAAACACAATATGTATAAATAAATTCAAACAAAATATTATGAAAATTCATTTTATTTCAAATATTGGGTAAAAATTAAATAAATAAAAAGAGGAACTGTAGGAAAACACGCGTGGTGGAGATAAAAGGCATGTGATGAAGCGTAGGTGGTAACATAGAATGACGTGACAGGACGCCTGTGACCGTAGGCAAAGACTGAGGATTGAATGAGAGAAGGAAGGAAGCTTATTAAATGATAGTACGCTGCGCACGTGAGCAAGGTTGAGTGGTGAAGGACTAGCAGCAGCTCACGTGCGCCCATCCCCTGCCGTTCATCTGCCACTCTGCCTGCCGGCTCGCGTGCGGTGGGGACCCTCTTCTTCTCCAAATATCCAATGCCCACTCCTTATTCTCTCTCTCTCCGTCTCCGTCCCCTTCCGGCTTTCCTTTTTCTCTTTAAAAAAAAAAAAAAAAGAAATTTAAATTTTTGAGTCTTCAGAAGTCACGCCGTTACTAGACGTCGACGTTGGTTAACGGTTTTTGCGGTTGGAGACGTCTTGCTCTGTCATGTTAACAGATCAATTATGAAAGAAATTGCAGATAATATATGTCAAAATTCTCTCACTCCCAGCCAATCAAAGTGGCTCTTTTGTCTAAGATTATTAGATTATGATTTGTTAATTACTACTTTTTTGTTTTCGTAAGCTAGACTACTGCTACTATTGCAAGGTTTTGAGTATATATTTAGTAACGAAAAGACTTACCTATGGATCAATCTCGTGTACAAATTAATTTTTTATTTTCATATATTACATTTTAAAGGTAAATATATTATTTTATATTTGAAAAAAACAATTTTATCAGTAAACAAAATTTTTGATAGCAAACTAAGTATATTGTAAAAGAATCAATTAACTATTACGTTAACCATTTGCATCTCTAATCCATGACCGTTTGATGGTAATTTGTTAGGATATGAATATGGGAAGATAATCCCATACAAGTCACTCTCGTGTCATGTGTAATGTTAAAAAATGTGGCTTACTACGTGGCATGTTGTAAGGGGTAGTTTAGGAATAACAAAGGGGGATAAAATAGGGGTATGGGCATTTTATAAAAACCAACTGTACGTGAGAGCACGTGCTTGTAAGTAAGGACTTAGGCGGTGTCTCTCTCTCTCTCTCTCTCTCTCTCTCTCTCTCTCATCTTATTTGGCTCTCTTTCTCGTGACGGTGTCACGTGGAGGTGAGGGAGGGACCCACGAATTACCCGTCAAAAAAAGCAAAAGCAAAGCAAAAACCGCTTAGTGGGGGCATGTGCTCTCTCTTCCCAAGTGACCTGTCGTTTATGGGTTACTGATTATATTTGAAAGCGAAAGGGAGAAGGGGATGACGTGGCTTTCTCACGTGCTCGGCTCGCGTGCCTTCTTCTCTCTCTTTTGGCTTTGGCTGGTAACGACAGCTCAAACGTGGCCCGCTTAGACAAGTTTCTCTATCCACTGTGTCACCCTAGATTGTAGATTTGCTTCTTCGTTTTTTTTTTTTTTTTTTTTAATAAAAAAATTTTCTTCTGCTCAAATTCTTTATATCCATTTTAATTATGAAATTGAAACATTTTATTAATTTATATATTTTTGTCAGAAAAATGCATAATCTATTAAATTCCTAAATTATATCATAACTTCAATTTTTTCATTTTAAAAGAGAGAAAAATCCAACTTATCTTCTTAGATTTACTTAATCATATCTTTCTTTTTAATTGAAGATGTAAATTAAACTATTTAATTTTATTTTAGAAAATACAATTAAATTTATTTTCTAACAATAAAATATGAAATTCTATGATTTACATTCCATTAATCTAAATAAGACTAATAAGTTTAAAATCAATTCTTTTTTCTCATTCATAGACGAATTTAAAAAATAAAATTATGAATGATAATAATAATAATGATAATAATATTCAATAAATTAAAATTAAAACTAATAATAATAATAATAATCCATTTTATTCATATGAAAATGTATTCAAATAATTAAGTAGATGTAGAAAAAAGTCATACATTAGAGTGGAATTTAGAATCTTCCGTCAATTTCATTTTCGAGCACATTGAGGTCATCCATTGATAGAAAATCAGAAAGGACCACCCTAACGCCTGTGCCTACGGTGGTCCATTCTAGGGACGATGTTCTAGTACCACTATTTAGATGCCTTCTGGATTAGCTATCAGCTTCATAATTTGGGCTTTTAGCACTTGAAATGGGCCGGCCTAGTTTCCAATTTTTTAGTCGCTTTTCCCCTTGTTTGGGCTGCCTGTATTTGTTGATCACCATTCCACATAAAACTTACCTAACCTAGTTCAAATAAGATTAACAAAACAATATTCTTCACGTATTGAATTAAGAATTTGAGAAACAATTATTGCTATTCCAGCACAATTGCCAATCCCCTTTCCTGGCTATCCTAATCCCTCTGTTTCCATCATTCTCTCTCCTTTGAAGGAAGAAAAATCTCGCCAGCAATGGGACTTCCTGATAGTGGAGATAATAGATTTGTGTATGATTTATAAACAATACAAGTGACTAACAAAGCACATCTCTCCAATGCAACAGAGGTTCACATGACAGAATTATTGAAGTGTAAAATGATTTCCATGTTGCAAGTAAGCAGTCCGGGTACATTAGCTGCCGCTGGTTTAAGTACACTTACAGTTAAAAATGATAGGTACAGATTTGTATTATCTATCTACTTCAGCTTGGTACAGATTTATCTTCAGCAACATCTTTAGACATGCCTTCAATACTAAACAAAGGGAAAAAGAGGGAGGTACATTGGTTAAATGTGATCAAATGATAATTTACGGAGACATAGTAACATGGGACACATGAAGGTAATTACACCGCTTTCATCAAAATGGAGATGATGAAAGAGAGAAACCCGCATAGATTGGCAGCAGTGTACTAACCCTTTATGAGAGAAATTTTCAAGATTTAGCATGAGATACTTTCTCAGAAAAAATTGACTCCACGATATCCTTTACAAAGACCAAAAAGCATTCTCGGCAAGAATTTGGCATTAAAGAGGACTTACGGAGTTGCTGCACGCGTTCAGAATGGCTGCATATAGAGCATGGGGGAGAGTGAAAAACATGCCTTGAATGCTCAAAACCACACGCAGCCAAAATAGTATGTGTGGCCAGCCTCGCAACTTCTTTGAATGTATTAATTCCTGCAGAATACAAGTAGTCAGGAAAACTACTTTAATTTAAAACAAAAGTTTACGTTTTATCAATCATGGCAACCACAAAAATTCTTCTGAAAAAACAAAGAAAAGAAGAACAGTGAACAAAGGGTATAAAATAGGCTTGAATTTTGTCATCTATTCTCTACTCTTAACCAATATAATATATTTTGGGGCATGAGTTCAAAGATATTATCTTACCTAATCGTTTGTGTCTATTTAGTAGCTGTAAGTTGAGTTTGACAAGAGATTGGATCTCACTTTTAGCATCATCGTCTTTTCTCATGTCTTTTCTCACCTTACTTCCAGTGCAACCCTTTTTCATTCTAACATCTTCCTCAACAATATCCCTCTTAGAGGAGGAAGATGCATTGATGTCTGTTTTGGTGTTCAATGATTTAGAAGGTCCTGGCACTGCCTCGGCCGAAGTTATCTTAGGGCCAGATCCATTTCCCTCATCAATAAGATTTATTGATGTCTGCACGAGTGTTTTCCAATTTTCATGAACGACATTGCAATGACTGCTAGTCTGCACCTTCCAAGATGATACAGAGACAGAAAGTCCCGGTGAAGAAGTAGTTGGTATGCTGTCATAAGATTTCACAATTCCCTTGGTTCCAACTGTAGAATGCTTTTGCATTTCCAACTTACTCGATGTATGCTTCTTAGCATGCTTTTCTTGAGGATAAACCTTGCTCTGCTTCTCAGTTACAGTGTTCTTCAACCCTCTAGTTCCAAGTTGTTTGCTTCTAGAGTCAAAGGAAAGTTGTTCAGTTCTTGATAACTGCAGACTTGAACTTCCATCAATTAATTTTCTTTTGCCTTTGCTCAAAATATTTTTTGATACCAAATCAACACTTTTTGTTGTTCCATTAGCCTGTTGTATTGACTTTGCCTTATGCATCATTTTCCATGCTTTGTCAATATCATTATAATGTCTATCTTGAGTAAAGATGTCAGGTGTACCTTTAGTTGTTGGTTGCTGACCACTTGTAGAAGATAAGGAATGTGGTTGGACTGAACTGCCATTAGAAGCTGCATGAGTATTGCATTTTCCAATGCTTTTGCTAGATTCAGGTGAACTGCAAGAGAATCTCAAGGACCCACTCTGCAAAGAACTCCAATTTTCACGCAATACTCGTATATAACCATGCACATTCCGACAGCGACTCAATGTTCTTGCTCCGGTTGGGGTTACCGCATAAGCATTAGTCTGAGATGTTCTTTCTCCTAGCTGAGTCATTTCATCTGCAAGATTGGGTCGCCTTTCAAAGGGCAAAGGATCTGTGGAGAAGGTTAACTGCCTGTGAAAAGATTGGATATGTGGTTCATGTACGATGTCAAAAATGGAAACGTCTGCATAATCCACTTCCATGGAATCAGAATCTTCCAAGGTACTCTGGCTGTTGACATCAAGCTTCGAAGCACTCAGTTCAGCTGCTAGCATTACCTTGGACTTCACATATAGGTTCTCATCGATATCATCATTATCTTTTTGCAATTTGTCATGTTCAGTCCTAGAAACAGCACAGTCATTGCAAAACCAATCACCTTCAGGTACAGTGGCTCCCAGGCCAACACAATAAGTATGGGCGGCAGAATCACAAAGATCACAAAGTAATAGAAAACATTCATCTTTTGCACTGTGGCACAAGCTACACTGAACTCGTGCATACGGATCAAAAGGCGCAACAGAGGCATTTCCAGAAAGATGGTAAACCTGAAAAGTGAGTAATACATGTTAGCATATGACACAGGCATCTAATATGACCTAATGCAGAAACCAACCTACAAACTACAACATCTGATCAACATTACCTACATACACATGTTCTCATAAGCTAATACCATGGCAGACCTGTACAAATATGCTTAGCTGAAGCTAAAATTTGAGTCGAAAAAGCTTAATTACCACAATAATTAAACATAATAACTATTTTGAAGCAAAATTGACCTCAAAAATTAAGGGGAAATCAGAAGGCTATAGATATATATCAAAAAGCTAAATTTCTGAACAGAAAGCCGAAAGGACTACTAACTTACCTGGTCACGTTTAGGGACATTAACGACGCGTTCACAAGGAAATACGCCGTCCTTTGCCGGTCTACGAATGGTATTGAACCGGCGCTTGCACATTGGACACCGAGATTCGACCTTAGCCCACTCCAAGATGCAAACGAAGCAGAAGTAATGTTCGCAGCTATCGATTTGTCCTCTAATTGAATTCCGATTATCAGACAAACAGATTCCACAGCACAACGAATCTGAGCCGTCCATCGACATTGATTCGTTTCCCGTAGATTGATTTTCTTCCATTTTCTGCTCTACTTTAGATTCAAATTGATTAGTTTCTTCATTAATTGCGCATCTGGAATCAGAAATTAGGATTTTGAGGCGTTTATTTGGGGAGGTAGAAGACGAGTTCGACGGCTAGTCAGTTGTCATAGTAGTTGCCGGGATTTCCCGCGAAGCAAGTTACACCATATTCGTACAGATAAGATTTTTATACTGTGATGGCTGGGCTTTAATGGGCTCGTCCAGTACGAATCCAGAACTCTAAGAATAATGTATCTGGACAGCCCCGTAATACCTGATCAAGTGTACTTATTCTTTTCAATTAACCAAACATAGGTCACTAAAAAAATAATTTTAATTTACAAACTTAAGATTCTCGTGCAAGAAATGAAAGAATATAAAATTATTGCAATCTTTATTACTCTATTTGTCTTTTAATTGAATGATTGAACTTTAAGAATTGAATGATTCAATTTTAAGACATGTTTTATCAAATTGTAAAGAAGGATTTCCCACCATTTTTTTTATGCGCGGACTCGCCTTATATATTAAATCAATTAAAAATATTTTTTTTGTTTAAATAGAAACAATTACACGTAAAAATAGTAGTAATGTTTTAAAAAAAAATTGATCGACTTTGTTTATGATAACATGGGTAGTTTTATATATTGAATGTTGACAAATTTTTTATGTAGACCATATCAGAATTATATATGTACATAAGGAAAAAAAATAATTGCTTCACTCATAAATTAGGAAATAGGGAAATTTAGCGAAATTGCAACAATGTTATAATTTATAACATATGAAAAACAACCATATTATCAAAACAACCATTTTTTTTTTTTTATTAAAGTAAGATGATGACCGTGAGGCAAAAAACATGCAATATTACCCCAAAAATTTTCAAAATTTCATTTTTTATGTATTCTTCTTTAAAAAGAAATGTACTTCCCTAAAAAAAAGAAGAAGAAATGTAATTAACTTACCATTAAATTGTCTTGAAACTTGTGTTCCTCATGCATTTCATGTATATTTTTAAAATTATAATTATAATAGGACACAAAAAAATCTTAAATCTATCCACATTTTCTTATAATATTGTTTATAATTATATATTAATTTCTCTCAAAAATTCTGTGTCTTTATTAATGTAGTTTGTAGAAAAAATTAATTTTTAGATAAATATTATATTCTCTCAAAAATTCTGTGTCTTTATTAATGTAGTTTGTAGAAAAAATTAATTTTTAGATAAATATTATATATATATATATATATATATATATATTATATATATATAGTTATTTGAGTGGAGAATAAATACACGCACCTTTTTATGTCAGCCCGCGCCCCGGAGCAATAAATTTGTTTGCTTGATAGTGGTTCAAAAACGGTTATGCTCCATTTAAAAAAAGACAACAAAGTCTCGATAAGATGAACAATTTATAAATGCATTGATGCGAAGCATGCATATATCGGATATATATATTTGAGTGGAGAATAAAAATACACGCACCTTTTTATGTCAGCCCGCGCCCCGCGGACAATAATTGTTCTTGATAGTGTTCAAAAAGGTTATGCTCCATTAAAAAGACAACAAAATCTCGATAAGATGAACAATATAAATGCATGATGCAAGCATGCAATATCGGAACTGTACATCCTGTTTAAAGGGACGCCATTACAGCCTCAATCGACACATTTCCATTTCTTCTCCATCCTTTCTAATTCTTCAACCAATACTGCTCCGACTCCAAAAACCTAGCACCAAATCATGACAATCTTAACAACTGGAACACACGTCTTGATCTTCCCTTTCCCAGCACAAGGACACATGATCCCGCTTCTTGACCTAACCCACAATCTAGCCAACCGTGGATTAACCATTACCATTTTAGTCACCCCAAAAAACCTCCCTCCCTTAAACCCTCTTCTTTCTGCTCATCCATTTATCAAAACACTAGTCTTTCCTTTTCCTTCACACCCATCGATCCCTTCTGGTGTAGAAAACCTAAAAGACTTACCTAATAAACGCATTGCCTTTACCATGATACGCGCGTTAGGTCAATTTTACCAGCCGTTGCTCAACTGGTTCAAATCACACCCTTCTCCGCCATTAGCCGTAATATCTGATATGTTTCTTGGATGGACTCATCGTTTGGCTACTGAACTTAACATTCGCCGGATTTTTTTCTCTCCTTCTGGTGCTATGGCTTTGTCTGTCATGTATTCTCTCTGGCGTGATATGCCTAAGCCTAAAACAACTAATGAAAACGAAGTTATTTCATTTCCGGAAATTCCAGATTGTCCTAGATACCCTTGGTGGCAGATTTCTCCTTTTTATCGTAGCTATGTTGAAGGAGACCCAGATTCAGAATTTAACAAAGATGCTTTTCGTTCTAACTTTCTGAGTTGGGGGCTTGTAATCAACTCGTTCACTCAGTTGGAAGCGATTTATTTGGATTATTTAAGGAAAGAACTGGGTTATGATCGTGTGTGGGCTGTAGGACCTTTGCACCCCGCTTCACACGCAGGACCCATGGACAGAGGTGGGCCCAGTTATATTCCAGTGAATGATATAACAACGTGGCTTGACAGGTGCGAGCATCTTCAACGTAAAGTGATCTACGTGTGTTTTGGCAGTCAAACTGAGTTGACCAATAATCAGATTGAGGAGGTTGCGTCAAGCTTGGAGAGTAGTAACGTAAATTTTATATGGTGTGTGTAGAAGCAGGGGCTCGAAGGGACGGAAGATGGAACATATAGTCAGATCCTGTCTGGTTTTGAAGATCGTGTGGCTGGGAGAGGAGTTCTAATAAGAGGGTGGACTCCACAAGTATTGATCCTGAGTCATCGAGCCGTGGGTGCGTTCTTGACTCATTGTGGATGGAACTCGGCTCTGGAAGGGCTAGCATGTGGCGTGCCAATGCTTGCATGGCCAATGGGCGCTGACCAGTTTGTGAACGCTGGTTTATTGGTTGACGAGTTAAAGGTGGCTGTAAGGGTCTGTGAAGGTGCTGATACTGTGCCTAACTCGGTTAAGTTAGAACGAGTTTTAATTGAATCATTGCGCGAAAACCGAGTTGAAAAGGAGCGAGCCCAAAAGCTAAGTAAGGTGGCATTAGATGCTATTAAAGATGGTGGAAGTTCTGTTGGAGATGTGGATAAGTTAGTAGAGAATCTGGTAAGCTTGAAGCTAGAGGCAAGAAGTTTCTGAAACTTCTTATTAATAACCATAAATAATTACATAAGCATAAAAATTTTTTTTTTTTATTTCAATAGAATAAATAAATACATATATATTCTTATCTCATGTATGTATTTTATGGTTGTTATCTTTTTTTCTTCATCTATTTTTTTCCATTTCAATTTCAAATAAAGGATTTAAAAAATGAAAATTTTATTTTTATACCTTCAATATTTTTTTATTTGTATCGTACACATTGTGACGGAGTTAGAAATAAAAGGGAGAAGAAGGGAATTTTTTTCCGAAAATATAAATGAATAAAATTGAAAAAAAAAACACTATTTTATAAACAAAATTGAAAAATTTTAAATTTATTGGGCGATATTTAAAAAAAAAAAAATTGAATTAAGGGGTGGGAGTCAACCCTGACGTCCCTCCTTCCGTCATTGGCTATAGAATATTAAAAGAAATAGAAAATGCAATAATAAATTACAATATAAATTGATGCATCTTTGATAAAGAGAAATTATTTTTAATTAATTGCTTTCAGGACAAAAGTATTCGATTAGTAACAAGACAACAATATGTCTGTGCTTGTCCTTTCCTTTCCTTTGGTGGGTGAGAGCCAAGGCAAAAGCAAAATAAAAGCTACAGCACTCATGATTTACCTTTTCCCTCTATATTTAAATCTGCAGCCAATGTAAAATTGAATATCATAATCCATGCAACTGATCAAATCTCAACAACCTCCACTTTCTCGCTCTATCAAATCTAAAAATCAAACATCACAGTTTCATTGCTCAATCTACTCTCCATCTCCATGTGACTTTATCTTACTTAGCACCTCCATTTTCAATTTTAAGCTCGTTTAGCTTCTTTACCAGTTCATCCAAATCTGCATCTGAGCTCCCTCCTTTAATAGCACTCATCGCTGCTTCTTGCAGTTTCTTCGCTTTCAGTCTCTCCGGCCGAGTTTCCTCCACTGACTCCTCCAATTTCCGAGCCAACTCGTCTGACTCTGGTATCCTCTGAGTCGCTTCCCCAACTCGAATACCCACCTGCAACTGGTCAACCAATAGTTTCGCGTTTGTGAATTGATCCGCATCCATCGGCCACGTCAGCATCACCACGCCTCCTGCGATCCCTTCAAGGACTGAGTTCCATCCGCAGTGAGTCAAGAATGCGCCGACTGCCCGGTGCCTTAATATGGCTACCTGTGGAGCCCATCCTTTTATAATGAAACCTCTTCCAGCCACACGATCTTCGAATCCGTCTGGCAGAACACCGTAATCGCTCGGCGCGTGTCGTTCTCCTGGTTGCCTTACGCACCAAATAAAATGGACCCCGCTTTTTTCTAATGCAGCTGCTAGCGCATCCATTTGCTCACACGTCAATGAGGTTCGGCTTCCAAAGCAAACATATGCCACTGAGTTGTCATTATGAGAATCAAGCCACGTAAGCACATCATGACATGGCACTGAACTGGACCCACCACGATTGACGGTTCCGCTTAAATCATTGTCTGGAGGCAAAACTGGACCGACAGCCCAAACGCGGTCACTTTCGAAATTCTGTTTCAAGTGATCGAGATAGACGCGTTCTAACTCAGTGAACGAGTTGACAACGATTCCCCAACTGGCGAGATTAGACAAATACCCGTTTCTGTAAAACTCCCAATCCGAGTCTTTAAGCATCCTGTAAGAGTGAGTGATTTGCCACCAGGGATAAGTTGGGGAATTCGGAATGTCAGGACACGACACCGTAAATTCCAAGTCATCCGGATTGTCGTTTTGTGGCCTGTAACTCCAAATATAAGCAGAGACGGAGAAGGCGAATGCACCGGATGGGGAGAAGACGATGCGCCGCACTCCTACCTGGCAAGCGAATTCATGAGTCCACCCGAGAAAGAAATCGGATATAATACCTACCGGAGGAGATGTGTGAGATTGAAACCAATTTAGAAGGAGAGGATAGTGGCGTTCGCGCAAGAAGCGCATGATAACAATAAGGCGGTTTTTAGATGGAGGAAAGTCCTCCGGATCAGGGAGGACCAGTTTCTGGAGTTGGGAGGATGGGTGACCGGAAAGTAGAGGGTCAAGCAAAGTCAAGTTTTTAGGGGTGACCAATATAGTGACTATGAGGCCGCGGTTGAGCAGACGGTGGGTAAGGTCTAAGAGAGGGATAATATGACCGGAAGTTATGAAAGGATAGATTAAGATGTGTGCCGGCGTTGAGGTGGACATGGCGACTGGAAAGTTTGGAAGAAAAAATGAACGCGATTGGGTTTAACGCTTAGATTGATATGTTTCTGTGTATTTTATTGAGGAGATGGGACGGTGGAGCATACGTCAGGCCTGACGTTTGTGACTTTTACATTAGGAATACATACGTTTTTTCCTACTTTGGAACAAAATTATTACTGTAGCAGTAGTTAATAATTTCTATTATCCCGTTGCAAAAATATAGTTTTTTCCCATTTTAGTCTCTGTCCATACTAACAAGGAAGATACACAGGAAATGCGCATGAGTTTGTTTTTAGTCTCTGTCAATATAAAAATGGCAAGTCAAATTGAAATTGAGATTGCCGTAATTGCTGAAATTGATCGACTGGCCTTCCCTACTTTTGTTTCTGATTACCTGCCCTTTACGGTACTCGACATTGTGATCATGGGGTCATAGGCCAAGAAGAGATGCTTTGATTCTCTTCTTTCTTTTACAATGGAACTTGCCAAAAAAAACTTTCATTAAGCCATGCAGCTCCAATTTTCCAATTAAATGTAAGCTTTTTTTTATTTTATGGGCCAACAAACAAACAAAGCCCATTTTAACAACCAAATTTAGACCCATCAAATATTTCTTTACCTTAACAAATGCATTTCCCTATAATTTTTGAATTTGTATTCTTACCTGGAAAATAATTACTTACACCTCCATAACCCTATCTACAAACCAAATGAAATTAAGAATTATTTAAATAAATGAAATTACGGATTATTTAAATAATATTTCGTCTTTTTTTTTTTTCAAGTACATGATCAGAACTATCTTTATTTCAATAAAAATATTTAATTTCATTATTTTGATGACAACATAGTCATGGACCTTTGGTCTAGATAAGTTTTTTTCCTTCTTACTTTATGGAGATCGAATTCACTTATCGTTTCGACCAACTCATTATAAGCCGTTCAATAATCTGTCATTGCCTTTGATATCAACAACATTGAGTAAATTAATTAATTAATTAATTAACACTTGGATCTTCAAACTAAAAAATGAAAATGGAATTAGTTCTATTCAATATTTGTTAGATCTCTCTATTTGCATACGTACAAGTATGATATTTTCCACTTGTATAATTTCACTGCCAAAAGGAAACAAATTAAGAGAACAAACATATATGGAGAAACCAAAATTGTACAAAAGACACCACATATACATGGCTATCTTTTGTGAAGTAGCTAGTGCTTCAATTCAGTAATCTTCTTCTTCTTCTTCTTCTTCTTCTTGCTCAGTTATTCTTAGGAGGGTGAGATTTTGGCACGTGATAATCGGAGCTGAAAGCAGTAAATACTTCCCTCTTGTCTTTCAAATTTCCATGAGAGCTTCCTCTATTGCTCATCAATTTACATTTTGATGATCTATAGTTACAATAACTTCCTACAAATTTAGTTGCACCTGAAATCTTTACTTCTTCTTTATTGAAAGCTTCCTCTTTCCTTATCAAAACCCTTTTCAGCTTTATCACTTTCCTTCCTCCAAGCCTTGTTTTGCTAACTCCATCCATGGTAGCAGCAGCACCTTAGGAAATTAAAGGAATAAACTAATTAAATAGTTAAAATTGAACATCCATCAACAAAATATAACAAGAAAATTGTAAATACCTTGGCGGGTCATTAGCGCACTGGAGTTCCTTACATAATGTAGCACAATGAAGATTATAAGTAGAAAGCTAATAAACCTTGTGGACGCCATGCTTGTCTTCCTTGTTCTTCTTTTGGGTTTGTTTGTTATAATAGACACAACAAAAGAGAGGAATCGATTGAAAGATAGAAGAAGGTCTTTATAGAGTCCAAACTAAGGTCAAAGTTAGGGTTTTTAACTTCAAGAAAACAAATAGTAAAATAATTGACATGTGATTACAAACACTTGGGAAAACACAAAACAAAACATAACAAACAAACAAACACAAAAAAGCATTATTGTTCAAAGCTTTGAATTACTGTATTGAAAAGTCCAATAAATATTTTATGTTTTACACCACCAAGAAGAAAAGTTCAGATTATAATTATTAGTTATTTTTGTGGGCTAAGATTGTTACAAAGTGTGTTAGGAAAAAGGAGCATTATAGCGTGGAATGGAAGATACGAGGGTTCAGTGCTTGTCTGCCGCCATGCAAGCAACGAGGAGAGTTGGCTACAAACACATAAGCACAAAACAAAACCCTAGGGTTTGAGTTTTATAAAATTAAGCAGTGAGATTAACTGACAAATAGGACAGTAATTAAGAATTAATTGCCCAATTAAAGTTGTCTTGGCACGGTTTCTTATAGCTAGCTAGTAGTGGAAGCTAGCTGCTGCCTGGGCTTTAAGTAGCTTAATTAGCATGTATTTTATGCGTTAATTAAGATAGACAATTTTGATGGGAAGTAACACAAAATCTGACCTCACAACAAAAACTTCCCCACTTGAATGAATCTATTAAGAGTAACAATGAGCAACAAATTCAAGCAACACAAGCTGTCCCAAATCATACACAATCAAAAATAACATTCACCACATGAACACAAATCTTTTTACGAATGGGAAGTACACAAAAATCTGACCTCACAACAAAAACTTCCCGCCAACTTGAGAATGAATCTATTAAAGAGTAACATGAGCAACAAATTCAAAGCAAAAACAAGCTGGTCCCAAAATCATACCACAATCAAAATAACAATTTCCCACATTGAAAACACAAATCTTTTTACGTGGAAAACTCCTCCGGTGTGAAGGATAAAAACGGCCTCTTCTCCGGTCCAAAAGGAAATAAAGTTCACTATCACAATATTGTCCTTACAACTTCAGGCAAGCTAAAAACCATCAAAATATGTAGCTATACCAGAAACAACCACAAATAAATGTGTGGGAACACAATAGAATGATCACAAAAAACAACAGCTGCTGTTCTCAATACATTTAAAAATGTTTCTACTCATCCAAATTAAACTGATCAGCCAGATATCAAGAGTTGGATGTTAGGAACAAGCTCACGCAAAAATCAGCTCAATCCGATCAAAGGACTGACTAAAGGATGACTGCCGAAAACGCTGAAGAAGATGAAGCTATGCAGAGCTAGAAGCAGAACATGACAGCTTCGGATTCAGACCCAGAACTCAATCTCTGAACCTCCAAATGAAAATCCCTACGGTGAGAATCAAGAACAGAGAGCAAAGAACAATATATCCAAAAATCACAACGATCCAACGGTTGAAACTCCAGGAATCTCCAGAACACGGTGGCTGGTGCTGGATGGGGCTGTGTAGAAAAACCCTCTCCTCTCCTCTGTTTTTCTCACACGATTTCTGGTTGTGTGTCGATCAAATGAGAGCCAAAAAATATTAGGAATATGGCTGTTAGTTGAGGGTAGTTGAGGGGCATAATTGTAAAACAATAATTAGTTAGTGGACTTCAAATATGGCTTTTAACCCACATAGGAAGGGAACCAACCACAATTTTCCCCCTTCCGACTATGTGGGAAGAGGTGCCCAACCGGCAGCTCAACGACATATTTCAACTTCTTCTTGGTAAGAGACTTTGTGCACATATCAAGCCACCATTATCATCCGTAAGAATCTTCTCCAAGCTCAATTGAACTTAGAATCAAAACATCACGGATCCAATGAATATCTCAAAGTAATATGTTTTAGATCTATCCATGAAAGTTTGGATTCCTTACCAAGATGGAATAGCACTCTGGCTTATCGCGCAAAATAAAACATACCTTTCCTGAGTAAAGCCAAGCTCATTCACAAATTTTTTCATCCATAGCAACTCCTTGCATGCTTCAGTAGCTGCAATAAACTCAGCCTCTGTAGTAAATAAAGCAATACATTTTTGCAACCTGGATTGCCATGCCACAGCTCCCCCTGCAAATGTAATCAAGTACCCAGAAGTAGACTTTCTAGAATCAATATCCCCAGCCATATCGGAATCAGTGTAACCACAAAGCATAAGCTTTTCAGACCCAAAACACAACTTCAAACCTGAAGTACCACGGAGATATCTCAATATCCATTTAACTGCATTGCATATCTCAATATCCTTTAACTGCATTCCAATGCTCCTTACCTGGATTTAGAAAGAAATGCTACTAACTGTACCACTGCAATTCGACGCTATATTCTGGTCTAGCTACAACCATAGCATCACTCAAACTTCCTACTCAAACCATAGCATACATCAAACTTCCTACTACAGATGCATAAGGAACTTTTTGCATGAATTCTTTCTCTTGCTCATTGGAAGGAGACTACTTCACACTCAATCTAATAGATGTAGGGAGAGGTGTACTTACAGCCTTAGCCTTTGCCATATTGAACCGTTGTAGTACCTTCTCAATATACTTCTCTTGTGAAAGCCATAATTTCTTGCATCTTCTGTCACGAATGACCTTTATGCCAAGAATCTACTTTGCCAGGCCTAAATCCTTCATAGAAAAAAACTTGCTCAAGTCTTTCTTCAAATTCATAATTCTGGAGGAGTTAGGACCTACAATAAGCATATCATCAACATACAACAGCAAAATGATAAAGTCATTGTCAGAAAAACTTTGCACAAAAACACAATGATCAGAAGTAGTCTTTTTGTAGCTTTGCGAACCATAACAGACTCAAACTGCCTTGGTGCTTGTTTTAAACCATACAAGCTCTTTTTCAACTTGCAAACATAATTTTCTTTGCCCTTCACCACAAAACCTTCAGGCTGCTCCATAATAAATTTCCTCTTCCTAAGGTCACCATGAAGAAAATGCCAGTTTTCACATCCATCATCCATCTGCTCAATCTCTAAATCAAGTGTAGCAGCTAAACCCAAGATAACCCTGATGGAAGACATCTTAACCACTGGTGAGAAAATTTCTTCAAATCAATCCCCTTTCTCTGATTAAAGCCCTTGACAACTAATCTCGCTTTATACCGTGGGGATGATGAATTCTCTTCATGCTTCACCTTATAGATCCACCTATTCTTCAAGGCTTTTCTATCTTTAGGAAGCTTTACCAGTTCAAAAGTATCATTGTCATATAAGGATTGCATTTCATCTTTCATAGCAATAATCCATTTTGTCTTCTCCTCACTCTCAACCTCAACAGCTTCTTGGTAGCATTCTGGCTCATCTGCATCTGTTAACAATACATACTCATTAGGAGAATACCTTGTAGATGGAATATGATTTCTGGTAGACCTTCTGAGTAGACCTTCTGACTGGAGCCTCTTGTTGTCCCTCAAATGTCTCATACTGATCATCAATTGCATCATCTACAGGAATATCAACCTCATCTGCCTCTTCAATATTATCCTGAAGATCAACCTGATTTCTAACATCAACTGCAACAGGTGTTGAAGCTGACGGAACTAGATCTACATCAACCAAGCTATTATTCTGAGGTTTTGATTTCTCCACTTTGCCAATATCTTCAATAGTCTGATATTCAATAAAGACCACATCACGGCTTCTGTAAACTTTCTTCTCAATAGGATCATAACACCTATAGCCAAACTCATCTTGACCATAGCCAATGAAGATACACTGTCTTGTCTTTGGACCTTTCATCTTTAGGAACATGAACAAAACATTTGCACCCAAATACCCGTAGATGATCATAAGAAGGCTTCTTACCATACCAAAAACTATCAGGAACATCATTATGCAAAGGAACAGTAGGAGTAAGATTGATGACATGTGCAACTGCTTACATGCAACTGCATACAATGCCTCACCCCAAAAAGAATTAGGTAGTTTTGCATCTGAAAGCGTACATCTAACTCTCTCCATCAAGGTTCTGTTCATCCTTTCTGCTAAGCCATTCAACTGTAGAGTCTTAGGAGGTGTCTTCTGATGTCTGATACCATGCTCTCGACAATAAGAATCAAATGGCCCACAATATTCACCTCCATTATCAGTACGAACACATTTCAACTTTTTACCTGTAACAGACTGATTTTTCTTTTAGTGTCGTAATAGTGATTTACCGGTCTGTGAATAGTACCATCGGTTCGGGACTTGGTATTATTTTAGTCCCCTTTAACACGCCGAACCAAAGCTCTTTCTTGAGTGATCATCAATAAAAGTCCAAAAGTACTGTGCACACCAAACTGACTTATCCTTCCAAAGGATCCACATACATCTGCAGTCGTACTAGCTCTAAACAACTTTCTTTTCTAAGAAGGAGGATGATGTCTTAAAGGAGACCCGTTTCCTGTTTTCCGGCCAAACAATGCTCACAAGTGTCTAACTCCCCACCTTGTAAACCAGAAAGCAAATTCTTCTTAGTTAGAATATTCAGACCCTTTTCACTGATGTGACTCAATCTCTTGTGCCATAATTCTGTTGAACTATCATTTTCAACTGCATTCACAAGATCTGTAGGGATAGTGTTTTCGCCCAAATCTCCCCGGAGGACCCAAAAACATCCTTTTGCCGATAAATCGGTCTTATAAAGTATTTGAGTCGCCACCCATTTTTTCGGCAATGGGACCGTTTCCAATTTTATTTTATAAAAGTGACTTCGTTTAACCCAATTTTATTTAAGGCCAATTATTTTTTTTAAAAGACTGGTCAATTCTTAAGTATCAACTTCATACCAAGGTTGGTCACCACAGTTACATTGCCAATGCCCACTACTTTGGATACAGATCCATTTCCCATCCGTAAAGTTTCAAAATCACCAGGAGTGTAAGATGTGAAGAATTCTTTCTTTGTAGCAACATGGTGTGCAGCTCCACTATCAAGTACCCAAAGAACCTATTGCTGGCAACATTAATCATACTTCCATCATGAACAACAGCCAAATCAACTGAAGTAGCAACACTGACACGATCAGCAACACTGACACGATCACCATTTTCATCATTGTCATTCTTTTCTTGCTTGCCTTTATTGGTTTTGTTATCCTTTTTCCACTTGTAACAGTACCGTTTGATATGCCCAGATTTACCACAATAATGACATTCACGGCTCTTATACCTTGACTTTGATTTACTCCTACTCTTACTTCTATTGTTGTGATCATGACTTCTACTCTTGCTTCTCCCCCTGTTTTCAGTAACCAAAATATCTGACTGTGATGTGGAAGCGCCCTGACTTCTCCTTCTTACTTCTTCATTCAGAACACCACTCTTCACATACTGCATAGTTACAACACCATCAGGAGCAGAATTTGTCAAAGATACCCTAAAGTTTTCCCAAGAGTCAGGAAGTGTATTTGTATTCAACAACCAAAGTCCCATAATGTTTCCTCTCAAACTTGGACACCATATTGGATAACTGATCAAAAGATACCCTGTGAAATTCATTTACCATGGTCAAGTACTGAGCTCCCTTCTTTTGTCTACTGCAGGCGTATGGGCTCTGCTTAAGTAAGAACCACACTTGTTGTTACCTAGTTTAGAAGCATACAAAGATTTCTAAGCTTTTCCCACAAAGTTTTTGGCATTCTGTATCCAATTACAATATGATTATAATACATTATCCCTCAAAACCCAATTGCCTAGAAAAACCCACATACTGCTCGATGCCTCAAACCTCCCATTCTTCATCAGACTTCAGACTCAGGCTTACTAGTAGCAAATAAGGCAAATGTAGTTTCTTTAAAAAACAAAGAGGTCTTCTCAACTTTCCTTTCCAAGTGGTGATAGTTTGTGGCCAATCCAAACAAATCATCTTTTATCATATTTCCTCCAAATTCAACAAGCAAAAAAATGCTCAAAATCAACAAAAATTAACTGCAGCTCTGATACCCACTGTGATGGGAAGTAACCAAAATCTGACTCACAACCAAACTTCCCACTTGAATGAAATCTTATTAGAGTCAACAATGAGCAACAAATTCAATGCACACAAAGCTGTCCCAAATCCATACACAATCAACAAATAACATTCACCACATGAACACAATCTTTTTACGTGGAAACTCCTCCGGTGTGAAGGCATAAAACCACGGGACCCTCTCCTCCGGCTCCAAGGAAATAAAGTTCACTATCACAAATATTGTCTTAAACACTTACAGCAAGCTACACCATCAAAATATGTACGCTATAAACCACAAAACCAACCACAAATAAATGTGTGCGGAACACACATAGAATGAATCACAAAAACAACAGCTGCTGTTCTCAATAACATTTTAAAAATGTTTCTAACTCATGCCAAAAATTAAACTCGATCAGCCAAAATCAAAGAGTTGGATGTTCAGGATACAAGCTACCAAATAAATCAGCTCAATCCCGACAAAGGAAAGGATGACTGCCGAAAACGCTGAAGAAGATGAAGCTATGCAGAGCTAGAAGCAGAACATGACAGCTTCGGATTCAGACCCAGAACTCAATCTCTGAACCTCCAAATGAAAATCCCTACGGTGAGAATCAAGAACAGAGAGCAAAGAACAATATATCCAAAAATCACAACGATCCAACGGTTGAAACTCCAGGAATCTCCAGAACACGGTGGCTGGTGCTGGATGGGGCTGTGTAGAAAAACCCTCTCCTCTCCTCTGTTTTTCTCACACGATTTCTGGTTGTGTGTCGATCAAATGAGAGCCAAAAAATATTAGGAATATGGCTGTTAGTTGAGGGGAGGGGCATAATTGTAAAACAATAATTACGTTAAGTGGAACTTCAAAATATGGGCTTTTCCAACATAGGAAGGCTGTTAGTTGAGGGGCATAATTGTAAAACAATAATTAGTTAGTGGACTTCAAAATATGGGCTTTTACCACATAGGAAGGGAACCCAAACCCAACAAATTTGCCATAATTTGATCAATTAGTTAATATTTGATAAGCATCTTGTATTTTTAGAAGTCATAGATTAAAGAGAAACCTATTTAATTTAGAGTTTAAAAATGAATCATTAGGGTATTAATATACTGGATTTGCAGGTCAAGCAGACATAATATATATTACTAGGCTAACATGCTATATATATATATGTCTGTGTGCTTTTCATGTATAAATTAACGGTTAAAATGGGCTTATAGGGTATTTAATTAATGACATTTTTGATAAATTTATTGTATGGTAAATTAAAAAATTTCTTTTATCAGCACATATAAATTTATTATTATTAGAAAATAGCTGCAGCAAGTAGGAAAAATTCCTCTAATCCAAGATTCTACACCGAAGCCAGCAGGTTTTCCTCCATACACCCTCAAAACCTAGACCTGAAAAAAAGAAAAAAAAGCCTACTGCATATATAAAAAATAAAACCGAAACCTTTACATGACTAATCAGAGACAGAGATAGAGAATTAAAATCAATTTGGCTTCTTTTCATGAGGAGGAAAATTAAAAAGGTTAACTTCGTGATTAGAAGGGTAGATTCCAAAGAGTCAAGGGTTTGGACCAAGAGATTAAAGAATTAATAGAAATTAGCAAAATCAGTACTGTGTTGAATATTTGTTAACCCAACTCATGTTTAAATCAATAACAATATGATTAACGTGAGGGCACCCTCTCCTATGGAATGTGAAAAACTGAAAAAAGAACACCCACAGTTTAACGTGAGAACCCATATATAGTTTCATAATATATGAAATGCTACAGATTAGACATTTTCACATTTCTATTTCAATCCCTTGATAACGACAGACTTGCAAGATGGACGGTGACGGCTGAAACAGTTTATATACCAGGTTTGGGTCTTGTTGCGTATATTGATTATTTTAGTAATCGTTTGCTGGTTTAATATCTACGAATTGTAGCTCATATTATGATTCTTGTTATGTGTATTAGCTATTTTAGTAAATATTAATTGTTTGAATGACTATAATTTGTAGCTCATACTTTAACTTGAGTCGGCAGGCAAATATTAGAGTTTTAAAGTTTAGTTTTCTTTAGTTGATAATTTTATCTATAAATTTCAAATTTTTAATTCTATTAGTAGCACATGCATGCGTATGAATTTAATTATATGTCTTTATATTCTTATAAATGCTTAATAAAAATTAATTTATATATATATATAATTTTAATATTGTTTCTAATAAATTAATGTGTTATGTTTAGATATTTACTAAAATTTACATATAATCATGATAACACAATCACGAATCAAATAATAAAGCCATGATAATCAAATAATTACTTTGGTTTGCACGTTGTGCAAGTGCTGACTTAATTTTTATTTTTTAAAAAATTATATTAAATATATGTTTGTAACTTTATGTGCTTTTTTACTAATTCAAGTCATATGTAACCATAACCAATTAAGAAATCTTAAAAGATAATCGTAGTTATGTTTTTATCTTCTTTTCAAGTAGCATTGCGAATTAAGGCATGGGTTTAGGAGCTTGCAGAGTTTTATCCTTAATGATCAAAACAGATACAAAGATTCAGAAAACAGAAGGATGTTTCTGATGGGAAATCCAAAACATTGAAGCAGTGAAGATGCCATAGAAGAACTGACAGAATCATCTTCTCTTTTCTGTTAATTATTTTCTTTTTCTTTTTTACCCCATGTGTATGGGAAAGCAACATTTGAAAAAAAAAAAGCAACATTTGAAAAAAAAAAAAAAAAAAAAAAAAATATATATATATATATATATATATATATAGTAGTCTAGGATCCTATAGAAATTGGGATATGTATTGTGTTCACTGTAAATTTCAAAGAGTTGAGTAGAAAATAAGGTCATGTTGTCGTTGGCGTTCGAAGGTTAACTCGGATTTCAAGAAAGTTACATTGGCTTTCGTTTGCATTTGAGAAATAGGGTCACATACATGGAACCCACCGTTCCATTTCCCATGCCATGACCCTTCATTAATTTTATATTTAATAATTAACTTTATATTATATTTTATTAATCCGTTCTTAAAATTATAGTAGTCTAGGGATCCTATAGAAATGGGGATATGTATTGTGTTCACTGTAAATTTCAAAGAGTTGAGTAGAAAATAAGGTCATGTTGTCGTTGGCGTTCGAAGGTTAACTCGGTTTCAAGAAAGTTACATTGGCTTTCGTTGCATTTGAGAAATAGGGTCACATCACATGGAACCCACGTTCCATTTCCATGCATGACCTTCATTAATTTATATTTAATAATTAAACTTTATATTATATTTATTATCCGTTCTTAAATTATTTTATTTGTCAGAAGTAAAATTATTTTTCTAATTATTTAATACGTTGATAATTAATCTACCTTATTATTACCAATTCTCTATCGAAATTGTTATTGAAAGTGGCATCAAATAATATGATATTTAATTTTAATATTAGTGAAAGTTATGCTAGAAAAATCTACGTAAATTTTATAGTTCAGATTGTCTTTTTTTTTCTTAATTTTCGTGAAAATATAAATAAACGTATTTTTGTGAGACGAAATGAGTGCAATGTAATTAGATATATTTTTTTTAAGGAAAATGGTGATTCCAATTGATTTTGAATTTGGTTCGATTCAAAGTTGAACTCGCGATTGCTTTTGATCCGATCTTTCATTGGGTTGGTTCACCAGTGGCTAGAATTAATTTGAGTAGGAAATTTATTTTGAGGGCTAATTTATATGTTACCTATTTATTATTACAAAGTAAAATAATTATTTAAATATAATTTGGAAAAAAAAAAAAATGGGAAAGCCCGAAGCTCTTGGGCTTTATGATACACTTTGTCGTGGCTAGAGCCCAATCCAGTATTAGGCCTACAACTAAAAGATGCCACGCGCCTTTTCTCTCTTCTCCAAAATTTCTCTCTTCTCTCCCGCCAAAATCCCAAACCCCCAATTTACCCGCCAAAAACCCTAAAACCAGAGCCGAACACTGAACAAAGGAAATTCTAAGAAGCGGAAAACTAAAAACCTCTAATCGCAAAAACCAGAGCCAACTCGTTTCCAATCTTCTAAATCTCTCACCATGAAAATTCGTACACTGAAGCTACGAGAAGCCCACAAATCCTCCACCATCAATGGCGGTCATCCTTCCTTCTGCTCCATCTTGTGGGACTACAATGCCTGCCACTTGGTCACGGCTTCCTCCTCCGATTCAGCTATCTGCATTCATGACCCTCTTCTCATTTCAGATGGGCCCAGGATTCTCCGCCACCACCGTGACGGCGTCACAGCTTTAGCACTTAGTCCCAATTCTACCTGCCTTGCCTCTGGATCTATTGATCATTCCGTCAAGCTCTACAAGTTTCCCGGTGATTTTCTATTATTTGTTTTATGAAATGTGTAAGAACTATGGTTTTTGGTCTTGTGTAACAATGATTCGTTCGGTAGGTTCTTTGTCAATTAGAATTTGCTTTTGATTTATAATGTATTTTTAGCAAACTGAAAAAGATTTTGGTAGAGGAATTCGGACCAAAAAAGTACTTCATATGGTTGAACCATCAGATGGTTTCTGATGATTTCAGTTGTTCACATTTGAAATGACAGTGATGCAATTTAACATTTAGTAACGCAGTTTCTATGGATTCGTAGATCGAATTTACATGGGTATGTAGTGAATATTTTTAAATTGTTCTATTTACCCTTGAACTTATAGTGTTCTTTAACTTTAATTTTCTGTAATTCGGCTTGCTATCATGTTTAGGCATTTAGTCACTTTTTATATTATAAATGAGGCGAGTTTAGCTTTAGGTTCATCTAAAGAGGTTTAGTTCTGGCAAAAAGGGCAAAAAATTGTCAAGAAAAAGGGGATTCTGATGTTCTCAGTTTCACGTCTCATGTTTTCGTGCTTGTTTTTCTCGGTATATACAATTGCTCAAATGAATATGTAATCATTTTGATATATATTCGAATTACTGAATCTTCAACAGAAATCATTAGTTGAATCAATTTTCTTAGAATTTGGAAAATCACAAGGATGTTAAGAATATTTTTTGGAAATTTATTTTGTTTGACTACTTTTTCTCACTGGACCAACTGATTGTAGAATAGACACTGTTGTCTCGTCCCAAATTACTAGCTACTTTGTTTTACTATATAGGAGTTAATGTTTAGCCATGTTTAAGTATTTATGGTTGTAAGTAACGTTCTCCCTTATTCTACAATTCTATTTTAATAAATATTCTGTTACTCCTTTTGCAGGTGGTGAGTTTGAGACTAATATTACTAGATTCACACTGCCAATACGTGTTCTTGCATTTAACAAGTCAGGGAGCATGCTAGCTGCTGCTGGTGATGATGAAGGCATTAAACTTATTAATACAATTGATGGTTCAATTGCAAGGGTTCTGAAAGGACATAGAGGACCTGTTACTGGCTTGGCATTTGACCCTAAAAGTGAATATTTGGCATCAGTTGATTCACTTGGAACTGTAATATTCTGGGAACTACAGTCTGGGAGTATGTTGCATACCCTTAAAGGTGTTGCTCCTGACACTGGTTCAGATATTTCTAATATGAATATAGTTAGCTGGAGTCCTGATGGGGAGACGTTAGCTGTCCCTGGTTTAAGAAATGATGTGGTGATGTATGATAGAGATACAGCTGAAAAATTGTTCTCATTGAGAGGTGATCATGTACAACCTATATGTTTCTTGTCTTGGTCACCAAATGGCAAGTATATGGCTACTTCTGGTTTAGACAGGCAGGTTCTAATATGGGATGTTGACAAGAAGCAGGATATTGATAGGCAGAGATTTGATGAGAGAATATGCTGTATGGCATGGAAGCCTACTGGTAATGCGTTGGCCGTTATTGATGTTATGGGAAGGTATGGCCTGTGGGAATCAGTTGTTCCATCTTCAATGAAATCTCCTATAGAAGATGTTCCAAGTTTGCAGTCAAAGAACAATAATGGGCTTCTTTTTTATAAAGAGGAGGATGAGGAGGCTAGTGCTTCTGGTAGTTTCAGTGATCTTGGTGAAGATAGCCTCGGAGAATCAGAACCACCATGCAGGAAGAGATTAAGGAAACGGTCTGAATTTGATGAAGAACCAGAGGAAGACATCAATGATGAGTTGAACTTGTTACCTAAGATAGAACCCAGAAAAAAGGTGCATCGTTCTGGCAAGGAAAACATGGATAAGGGAAATGAGGGACTAAGAAGCACAGCAACATCTGCTAGGTCGAAAATGCAGGAGGCTTTTCAGCCTGGATCAACTCCTCTGCAGCCTGGGAAGAGGCGCTTTTTGTGTTATAACATGCTTGGAACTATAACTACAGTTGAACATGACGGATACTCCCATGTAGAGGTAAATGTACATATTGCTTACTTCTGATGCTCAATGTTCGTTTTTCTTTCTTGTTTTATTTCTTGTTTTATTTTTTTTATTTATTTTTTGGGGGTTGTGGGAGGGCAGAGGAAATGTGGGTTGACGTTTTAGGATTGCTTAAATAATTGGCCACGTTTACTTGAAATTATCTTCATCAGCCTAGAGCAATTTCAAAGTGATTTGCTGGCAGTGTTTACTGATAGTTCATCATCATTATATACAGATCGATTTCCATGATACTGGCAGAGGTCCACGAGTTCCTTCAATGACGGACTACTTTGGTTTCACAATGGCGGCATTAAATGAGAACGGAAGTGTTTTTGCAAATCCTTGCAAGGGCGAGAAGAACATGAGTACTCTTATGTACCGCCCATTCAGTAGCTGGGCAAACAATAGTGAGGTCAGAACATAAAATTCTCCAAGATTTTTTCTTCATGTTTTATTTTTATCTGTTAGCACAGAACTGAATTGTTTTAGGTCTTTTACATTCCCCATTTGCATTACTGATTTGGCAATCTGTTGACACTGGATGCTTATGCAAACTCAGTGGTCTATGCGATTTGAAGGGGAAGAAGTGAAGGCTGTGGCACTTGGCATTGCTTGGATTGCTGCAGTTACTAGCCTTAATTTTCTGCGCATCTACACAGAGGGTGGTTTGCAGGTCTGTCATCAATTTCATAATTATATTGATTTTTTATAGAACAATTGGGCGTGTTCCATTAAGAGTATTATCAATTTCTACTTTATTTATGTATATTGATCAGGAAATGGCAGTTCCTTAAAAAAAAAAAAATCTTCTCACAAAAGTAATATACATTTTTTTTGGGACTCATGAAATGAATCTTTCGCAATGCAGACTCTTGAAACTATTCTTTATCATCTATCATCAATTAGCTTAAAGTGAGGAATTATTGTGAGCTGAGACTGATATCAAATGGCACCCATGTGAATGTACAATGTATAATGGACTGCGAAATTGGAGGTGATGGAAGTGGAAGGTGGTTGAAGTGTTTGCATTACATGTGCGAATGTGTATTCAACCATTCTTAAGGCATGAAAGAGAAACGGGAAATATGGAACTATTCATGGAAGAAGACAAATTGGATTCTTGCATACCGACTATAGATTGATCTTTAGTTGTATACATTAATCCCTTAAAATAGAGGTTCCTTGTGTCTACTTAATCATTGGTGACCAGTTTGTGTAAAATATTATTTCCCGAGTGTGAAACTAAAAACGAAGTATCGATTCTCAAAAAGAACCAAATGCATAGCTTTATAGTGTGATGATGTGTTTTGTCTTGTTGATGCTAGTGGAAAAGTAGGTGCCATACCATTTGTTTTCTTGGAGCTGTTTATGGGTGAGAAAAAAAAAAAAAAAAACAAACTATTGAATGATTTGTAGTTCTTGAAAATATGGTTTGGCATACATTTTAATCAATAGAGTCTCTCCTTGCTCTTAATTTTCTAAGTTCTTAACAGATTGTCTGCAATTGTACTTATCATTACAGAGGCATATTCTCTCCCTTGATGGGCCAGTGGTGACTGCATCAGGCTTCAAAAATCAACTTGCTGTTGCCATTCATGTTTCTGATTGTCTTCCATCAAATGATCAGGTCAGCTAATAATCAATCTGATACCATTATTTCTTCAATTATCCTCTAATTTTCTTCATAATGATAATCTAATTGTTAGCTATTCAATCAACTTGTTCACTTCTGTAGGAAATAGAGATCATGTTGTTAATATATTGATCTTGTTATGATATTTGCTTTTGTTGAACGTAAAAGCTAAAATTCATGTTCCTCTGAAAGATGCAGATGCTAGAGTTCAGAGTATTTGACATATCTAATGGCACCCAGCCATTTAGAGGACGTCTTCCGTTAAGTCCGGGTTCACATCTAACATGGTTTGGTTTTAGTGAAGAAGGCCAATTAAGTTCATATGATTCTAAGGTATGGTAATCCCCTCAAACTTCTCACTGCAATGACTATAAACATGGCTTCTTGTTGTTACATCTGACTGAGCAATTTGTAGGGTGTCTTGAGGGTTTTCACAAGTCAATATGGTGGCAGTTGGCTTCCACTCTTCAGGTTCAAATTCTTCTTTTTGAGAAGTTGAAAGTATTCTTTCAGTCTAGATTTCCAAATGCGATTCATTCTCTAGCACTTGTGTATAAGAAAGTTCCTATCCTGCAGTGCTGCTAAAGAGAAGTCCAACGAAAACTATTGGGTGGTCGGACTGAATGCAAGCAAATTGTTTTGTATTGTTTGTAAGAGTCCAGAGTTGTTCCCACAGGTAACTTAGTCTGCCAATAGCCATCTTTATTTCTGCTTTTATATTCTGATAATAATATCAATACTGATTTTCTCCAATGGACAGGTGATGCCCAAACCAGTCCTTACTCTACTAAATCTCTCATTTCCTCTTGCTTCCTCTGATCTGGGAGCCGATGCCCTTGAAAATGAATTTATCCTCAATAATATGCACCTCTCTCAGGTTTGTAGTTCCCCCCTTCCCCCAAAACAAACTCCTTAATCTCCTAACCATCTTTTATTTTTTATTTTTTATTTTTATCTTTGTTCATTCATATTCTAATAAGAACATCTCCTTTCTGAGATAATTGGTTTTGCTTCAATAAATTCTCTCTTTTGGAAGGTTATATGGATTTTTCCCATTAATGCTGTTTTTTGGCTGAGTAAGTTAGATGAATGTACCCTGCAGATTCAGAAAAGAATAGAAGAAACAGCAGGCGCTGGTTTGGACACCGGTGCACTTGATGACGAGGCTTTTAATACTGAGGCAGCTCAGGATAGATGCATTCTCAGACTGATTGCATCTTGCTGCAATGGTGAGTTTGTATTATCTTATTCTAGCATATTTCCTCTTTGCAGCATAAAACCCAATGAGAACATCTAAGTTCTTTTTGTTCTGGTTTCAGGTGACAAGCTTGTTAGAGCTACTGAACTTGTAAAGCTTTTAACACTGGAGAAATCAGTGAAAGGAGCGATAAAGCTAGTTACAGCTTTGAAGCTTCCTAATTTGGCAGAACGTTTCAACAGCATATTGGAGGTAAAACCTGTTATCTTAATAAGATTCTGGTACTTTTTTGGGAACTTTCTTTTCTGAATTCTAATTCACATAGTCTTACCACATTGCAGGAAAGATTGCTGAATGAGTCAAAGGAAAATCTAAACCGTCCACTTATAAATTCAAGCAATATTGTGCTTCATTCAACCAATGTTACAGTCAGCAAGACCTTGGATTTATCAGGACAAAGCAAAAGTATTCCATTGTCAGCACCAAAACTCTCAGCCCCTTTGATTAAACAGGAAAAGGAAGAAAGTAGCGATGTGAACCAAACTGCAAATGGGGAGACCAACAAAGAGAAAGTAAAAAATGCTGGAAATGCAAGTATCTTTGGACAGACGAAGATTGCAGAATTATCTAAAGTAAAACCTCAACAACGCCTCTCTGATCCGTTTTTAAAGTCATCAAACAATCAAGAAACTGAAAAGAAAGAAGATAAGATAAATCAGGTAAAATCTCAGCGTCCTTCTAATCCATTCAAAAAGTCACTAAATTAAGTTTTCTGTACTTGATCACATTATCCAAACCACTTCTAAAATGGGTTGGATAAGTATTTTGGTTGAACAAAATATTTGTTGTAAATATATAGGTTCTGTTTAATCTCATCCAATCCAAGTGTACCTCTTCTTATTACTACAATGACAAGTTTGCATTGGACCAATGATTTGAGATCTTGGGAATCTCTACTTCAATGTACAGAGAACTTCTTAACTTGAAAGAAAAGTGAGGCCCAACCAATGACCATTGCATTTTACTGGTCAGGCTGGCTTTGGCTTTTTTTTCTTTTTTTTTTTCTTTTGGAATAGAGTGGAAATCTTCAAAGAAGCTTGCATGGTTAGGTGAGATAAGTGATAATTTATTTAAATCAAAGTGTATATTTATTTAATAATTTTGCTGATTTAATTGTTTTTTAATTATTATGTAAAAACTTTAAACAATATATGAAAGTGGACTATGGGGGTATTAATTAAATGTATCATGTGTTTATTAGCAATTTTTGTGTTAAAAACTGATTCTATTGTTATATAAATGCTATTAAATTTTTTACCATTTTGTTTCGGATGTGAAATGTAAATTCGGTTAATCGGTTTATTGCGAAGAAAATCCAATTAAAAAAAAAAAAAAAAAGGAAAATTACAGAATAGAAACGGTTCTTTTTTAATTTTCAAAACGCACCGTTTGTATCCATACAAAATAAAACAACCGAACTTGAAAATTCGGTTGAAAAATCTAATCGGAAATCGCCATTTTTCGACCTTCTGCTCCCAGTCACAAAACGCAGCAAGCCTGTGCCTATCCCGCTTCCCTTCGTTGATCGCTCGATGCCTCCAGCACAATAGTTTTCTTAGATTCCATCTCCACTCTCTTTCTATCTCTCGTCATCACAGTTCATAGCTAATTCATTAACCATAACATTCCCTGTCTTATTTTTATGGAGTTTGCTTCTTTTCATGGTTTGATTCACTTATTCGTCTTTCTTTCTTCTGTCATCACATCAAAAAGCGAGAGTCAAGAGCATGTCCATCGCTACTATCACCATCACCGAAATTTGTAATTTGGCAGTACTGTTATTTAACTTACAATTATTTCATTTTCTTTTGAAATTCCTCTCATCTCACCTCCAGAATCAAAACCATTATATTATTATATATCTCCATACTGTTGTTTTCTTGTTTTACTTTGCTTTGCACTTGCTACAAACATTGATAATCAAAAAGCAAAGAATTCTATTCAAAAAATTCACTGCTAAAACAAAAAGAAAAATGAAAAGAGTGTTATGTACTGACCGAGGCTAAACATGGCTATGCCAAGCTCTGCATCTGATAGAACAGAAACAGAGACTTTACTGTAATGGCAGTCATTGTATACGTTATCTATTTATCTTAATTGTTTTATTTTATTTTATTTTTTTGAAGATTTAAGATATACCAAGAGAGTCCGGATCAGATCCAATACTGCCTCGGTCTTCAAGCCAAACAACAATTCAAACTGAAGCCTCTTCAGCTTTTGAAATTGGATTAATCTCCAACTTGAAGAGGAAGACAATGAAGCCGAGATCGGAAGTATGGGACCATTTCACTAAGTTTTTCGATGCTGAAGGAAATCAGAAAGGCAAGTGCAATTATTGTAAAAAAGAATACCATTGTGATCCAAAAAGACATGGCACAACTGCACTTAGAAATCACACGAGTGCATGCAAATACAATGTGCACAATGATCAGAACTGTAGACACTCTCGTTTCGCCTAGGATTGATCGCAGTCCAAATCTCACGTCAAGAATATATTAGAAGATTTAGAAGAACTTCAGAGATTTGACGATGGTATGTTAATACTATTTTAGGTTGTTTTATAAATGTTCACTATTTTTATTTAGATGAGATTTTAACTAACTTTTATGTTTTCAAATATTTTCAGATTTATTTATTCTTGATAAGAATTGCACAGATGTAACTGTCACCAATAGTTGATAAAAGGTGAGCACTCTTGTGATGTAATGAATACATTTATGATATTTTTGACAGTTATTTTTTTAAAAAAATTATATTGGTATTTGTCTTATGCTCTGAATTGTGTGGCTTGTGGAGAAGACTGGACAGAAATGGGGAGAAAAAAAAAATCTGTGACAGAAAATTAGATTATTGTTTAATTTGTTTTGATGAAAGAAGATACTTTTCTTATGATTTCTTTTGGAGTGCTTTTCAATATCATCCTGATGTTCGCAGAGGACGCAACTGTGGTGAATGAATTTAGTCGGATAAATGAAGCTTATGATGGTATGTATTCATCTCTGGCCTCTGTCACTGTTCAGCTTTTGCAAAAGTGGTGATGCATGTACTCCAGAACTTCTTTATTTCACAGCTCATATATTCTTTTGACCAAACTCAAACGGCGGAAGCTGTGGATTTGTATATAGTGGAAGCTGGCGGTGGGCAGACCTCCTTTAGTGAATTTTTGTTTTTGTATTTGAATGTCAGTATTTTTTTAATTGAATGGTTTTTTTAAGGACTCAAATTCAGGCCATAGCAAGTTTCGGTTCAAACTGGAAAATCAAACCAAGTTTCAGTTAGGTTTGGTTTTCCGCTAATTGGGTTCCTTTAGACAAGTAAAGTTTTAAATTTTGGTTTAGAGTCTCTTTAGTGAAATTGGTTGTTTTGCTAGCAGTTATATGTTTGAATAGTTAATAATCGTTTGAGTAGTTTTTATAAAACACTAAAAGCTAGATGAGTCAACATCTTAATTTTTAAAAACTAATTCAAATTATATCTTATCGAAAATCATAAAAAATAGTATTTTATTTAAAAAGTTGTTGCGAAATGAAGTTTAAATTTTTTTTGTCAATAAAACTGAAATATTTTAGTTCAATTATTTTTTACTTGGTTTTGACATGTTCTGAATTTGGTCTGATCACAGGAGTGGTTTAGTTTGATTTGATTCGGTCGAACCCAATGTTGAGCCCTATACTCACGTGTACATGTGAGAGATCTCATTATAAGTGGCAGCTTATTTATTTCTTTTTTTTTTTAAAGTTGAATTAAATGCCTCCATTTAAATTTAGAATTTAAAACCCCCAAAATAAGCCTTTCACCAATCTCTTTTTCTCAATTAAATTTGAAAAAAAAAAAAGAAAAGGCAATATGTTTCTTTTGTCTGCATCTAACAGGATGAAGACATGCATACAGAGAAGAGCAATAAATTAAACTCCGATATTTCAAAAAATTAAAGAAAATAAAAAATAAAATATTAAATGACGTAAGATTAGGGACAATTGCGTAATTACACAATTTTATATCCAGTGACCCAACGCCAACAACAAAAATTGAGCGCCATCGTTTTCAGCCCTTGAAATGACGGAACACATTCATTTCTTTCCAGTTAAATTCACCAAAACAAAGAAAAGCTCTTCTCTTTATTTTTGGTTTTCGTCTACCACCAATGGCAAACGTTTCTTACCTTCGCAGCCACCTCCACCACGACGCCGACGACGACTCTCACCACCACCACTACCGCCGTCCTCACCACCTTCGTGACCTAACTGCTGACCCTTACTTCCCTCTCTTCTCCTCCTCTTCCTCTTCTGATCTTCATTCCTCACACCCCACTCTCCACGACCGCCCTTACCCGCTTTCTGAAAATACCAATTTCAACATTCGGTCGCTCGACGACGACGCTGTCTCGGATCCCGAATCAGTTATCATTGGAGGCCCCGATCTCCTGGACCGCGAGAACCAGGTTAGTTTCGTCATGGATCTGTTTCAACAGCGCGTCGAACAGTCTCAGGTAATGGGTCATGGTTCCCATTTGGTTTCCGATTCGCTTAACGATTCGGATTTCGGTGTTATTGAGGAGAATTGTGAATTGTGTATGGATGATTTGCAGCTTGATTTAGGGTTAGGGTTTGCTTTAGATTGTCATGAGAATGGTGGGTTTCAAAACATAGGCAATGATCATAGTCATGGCAATACAAATAATAATGATTATAGTACAAATATCGTTATTGATGATGATGATGATGATTTCTTTGTTGAGAGAAGGCTTTCCGGGATTCAATCTTGTGAGGCCGAGTCTACTGTTAGCATTCGTACGAATGCTATGAGGGTTGTTGGGTTTGGGTCAGATTCGGATTCAGAAGAGAACGAGAACACGTTAGCTATAGACTTGCATTCAGGGGATGAATATGGATTGAGTCGACTTAGTATGGAAAATGATATTTATGGTAACGTTGATGATGATGAGGAAGAGGAAGATGCAAGTGTTACTATTCCTCTTTGTTGGGATTCGCTTCAATTAGAAGACCATAGAGAACATAATGAGGATTTTGAATGGGAGGAAGTGGATGGCCGTGTTGATGAAAGAGAGGTTCTAAGCATGTTTGTAGATGATGATGAGGCCTCTGTTTCTCTCTCCATTTCACCTATTATTGCCCCTGAGGATATGGTAAATGTAGAGAGAGTAGGGGTATTGGGAAATTTGGAATGGGAAGTTCTATTGAACGCTAACAACTTGGACTCAAATCCTGATCGTGACCAAGAACATTATGCTGAACCATATTTTGGTGTTAATGATGATTATATTTACACTGCAGAGTATGAGATGTTGTTTGGGCAATTTGCCGAAAATGAGAATGCATTGATGGGTAGGCCCCCAGCAGCAAAATCTGTTGTTGAGAAGCTTCCATCTGTTGTTTTGACTAACGTGGATTTGGAGAGTAATAATGCTCTTTGTGCAGTTTGTAAGGATGAGATTAATGTGGGGGAGAAGGCAAAGCAGTTGCCTTGCACACACCTTTATCATGGGGAGTGCATCGTGCCATGGCTGAGGATTAGGAACACTTGCCCAGTATGTCGATATGAGTTGCCTACAGATGATGCAGATTATGAGCGGAGGAAAGCGGCACAAAGAGCTGTTATTTCTAGCCGACGCCTTTGATGGGTAATATATTTAGTTTGTGTATGCTTTTTTTTTTTGAAATTTTTATTTGAGCATTATTTTTGTTAAGAATGTAGATATTGCTGTTTGAGTGCATTGATTCCCGTTGTGAGGATAATGATATTCATCACAATTTGTTACATATTTGGGTGAAGGTATGAAATATTTGTTTTGACTGATTTGTAACTGGAATTTTTTTGTTTCAATAATGTTTGATAATTTTTCATTTTTATTTATTATGATCTTTTATCTTGTTGGGTTATTGGGGATGGAATGTTGTTTATAGTACATGCTTTCCTAGTATAATTTTTGTTAGTGGATTAATAATCTGAATGTATAAGATTCAACATAGGTCTTCCTATCCTCAGATTTGTTTGTTACTGTAAGCTAATAGATGGCAGGATTTTATTTTGCTTAAGTTTATTTCATTTTAGCTGGGATGGCAAAGGTGAAATTGGTTAACGTATTAGGCCCAACAAAGGGTGCTAAATTTTGAAATAATTTGGTGCAAAGAACAATTTGGCAAAGCAATGGAGATAGAAATTTAAGATAGTTGTAGCTGAGGTTTTTTTTTTTCTGAAACTAGTAGCAGTAGCAGTAGGGCGTTCTAAATTTTGTTTGCCAACTCTTTTCTTTTTGTGTTACTTTTATGTAACATTCCATTGGTAAAGATCAAGCGAAGAGCTATTTGTTGAAGTCTTGCGTATTTTCCAAATTATTGAAGTCTTTAATTACTGTTGATTTGAAAGGAAGGAATAATGGATATGAGTGACTAATCCAGAGTGTATGCAGAGAAAATGACTGAAACCAGTTTCTCCTGGTGAGACTGAGTTGAGTCGAGTAGATTGGCTTTGAGACAGTTAATATCACATGAGCATAGATGTATGTGCTTTACCCACTGTTTTGTGTATGATGCTTCCTTGTTTAGATAAGATTTTTCAACAATTGGTTGACTAGTGGTGCCGATAGAAGCAGCTTTCATTCACTCTGTAAATTTTGGACTGATATTTTATATAAGTTCTACCTTATATATTTCATTATATTTCTCTTCGTGTCTATCTGTTGACTGGTAGGAGTTTATGGCCTCTTTTCCCCTGCTATTTCTTTTTAAGTTTCCCAGAAAAAGAGAGAAAAGTTCTGGAAGAAATGATGTTGCAATAAACAATGGTTGGATTTTGAAATGAAGTAAAGCATATGGTAACTTCAAATGTAAAGCACAAAAAAGCAGGCATCCTGTCACCATCCTTGTGAAAATCTCCAACAGTGGGTAAAGCCAAGAGCATTTAACCCCCACTTCACAGTTGGTGGGGTAATCTCATGTTTTGGTTTACTACTCTTTCTTGAGTTCAGTTTCCAATAAAAGAAATGGCCACTTTACCATGTGGAAAATATTATGTCTGGCTGCTCCATACGGGGCAAATTTTGTTCTTCCAACTTGAAAGTTGAAAGTTCCCCCTTTTTTTTTTTTTTGTTGATTCTGTGCACAAAAGGGGAGCAATTCTAGAAAGCTTGCACTTCATTTCTTGAATTCTTGGTTGATTTGGGGAATGATTGGTTTAGCTTGATTTTATTTTGTATTCGCACTCAGTTATTCTTATTTTATTAATAGCAAAATTGTAATTCTTTTAATTAGCTTTTTACAAGATTATAAATTGTCAAAAATAATAAATAATTACTAATATATTTTAATTGATGTAACTATACTTTTAGAATTTGTAAATCAAACTAAAATTATCTAAAGGTCCATATAAAATTAATTGTAATTTTTTTAATTTGACATTCTCAATTATTTTCTTATTTGAATAGTAATAGAACTGCCCATTGTTAAGTAAAATTATGTTTTTGAAAGATTAATTTTTTATAATAATAAAAAATAATTTATAATGTAATTTTTTTGTTCAGTACTTTCACAGAATTAGTTTTTATGCATCAATTACGCCGATCTTAAGATATTTACAATTAGTTTTTTGTAGTTGGGAGTATATATTGAAAACTGAAAAACTCTTTTAAGTATACATCGCATTTGCATATTTCTTTTATATTTAATTGACATTTTCTCAATTATTTTTATTCGTTATTGAATTAGTAAATAGGAACTGGCCCATTGAATTAAGGTAAAATTCTATTGTTTTTGATAAGATTAATTTTTCTTATAATAATAAAAAATAATTTATAATGTAATTTTCTTTGTTCTAAATTCTGTACTTTTCACAAGAATTTAGTTTTTTATGCATCCAATTACGCCGATCTTTAAAGATATTTACAATTAGTTTTTTGTAGTTGGAGTATATATTTGAAAACTTGGAACAAAACTCTTTTAAGTATAAAACATCCGCTTCTGCATATTTCTTTTATATTCTTTTTTCGTATTCACGTTGACATAAAAATGTAAAATAATTATAATAAAAAGAATAAAATGTAAAATATTATATAATAAAAAGAAAATTGCTTTCATTTTCTCAGTTTGAAAATTTTTAATCTGTATATTTGAAATGTACTTTCTATTAGTTTGAAATCCGTTACATTTAAACCTTTGAAATTTACTATATATTTTATTTAAATTCAAATACATAAATATTTAACAATTCAAACAGTAAATCTATATTATATTCTATATATAATCTTGAAGAAAAAAAAAATTCTTTAAAAAAGTGACTTCATGCTCTCCTCTTTCAACATTTCTTTTTTTCTTTTTCTTGTATAAATTTTCTAATTTTTAATAACTTTTTGATCGTTTCTTTTTTCACTTTACATTGTTTCATTTTTATTCTCTTCTTTTTTTTAAAAAAAAAAAATTATATTTAATGTATCTATGGTGTGTATATATATGAAATCAAAACTTTAAAACTTCTGAATATTTTTGTTATCTATACCCATATACCTATTTATCTTGATTTTTTCCGAAGTGGTTGCAGACTTTGAAATGGTCTACTAAAGTAGTTATCAAAGCAGTTAATTTTGTAATAAATTCGCTTCCGAGTTAGTGAGGTAGTTAAAAATCTTCATCCTTCAAACTCGTTCAATTTTTGGTGGTTATAAAGTTAGTAATTATTTTTATTTAAGATGGAGGGAATGGATGTGATTTCAATTTAATTTTTCTGAGTTATTAATTGATTGTAAATATATTTTCTGAGTTATTAATTGATTGTAAATATATGTATTTTTGAAGAGTGATTAAAGAGCATAAGTCAGAAACACGTGGTTTTTGGATTGTTGCCTTTGTAAGTTAAGTCTCAATCAATTGCTATCATTTTTGTTATTTCTCCAACGGTGGAATTTGGGACCTTTTGCTTTCTTTGTTTTTGTTAGCAGAAATCTCCAACCCATGTATTACTCTATTGTATTTTCTTTTTTTAAAACTTTAATTTCCTATAATTATTTGTTTTTACTTGTTTAGTATTCATAAGTACCAAAAAAATGTGAAAAATAAAAAATTTTCTGTTTCAGCATTCTTTTTTTTTAAAAAAAACCATTGAAAATTTCTCTTTAGTTTTTTACTATTTGATTGGATATTAAGGGTTATTTAATTTTATTTATAGTAACAATGTTTAAATTTTGTTTTCATTTTTTAAAATAAAATATATGTACATATATAATTACTGCTTTTTGTTGAGTGAAACTCTCTACTTTTAATTTATTTAAGTTGTATATATGTTAAATTAAAATAAAATATTTTATATCCGAGATGATTATTTATTAATATATTTTAAATTTTTACAAGTTTCTTTTATTTTTCTATGTTTTGTAGAATTAATATTTAATAATAATAGTTAAATTATAATTTACTGCTAAATAATAAGATTATAAATATTTTTTTATATACTATTTGTTTATATATTGGGAGGGCCGACGATCCAAAAGAATTTACTTTCACAGTTCATAGTAGTGAAGCAAGTAGACACAGAACTTTATTTAATAGAAAGCTGGAAACAAAAGTATTTATAGATGGGATGCTCAAAGTGGCGATGACAATTTTGCCCCAGCCGGTGGATACCCGATCCGGTTTTAGTGGTGTCAAATAGTGAATAAACGGGTTTGGACGAATTCGGATCAGGTTCGAATTCAAGGACTTAGTACCCACTACCCATTACCTGCTTAATAAATATTCAAAAAAAAAAAAATTAAAATACTTACGTTTTAAAAGAAAATTTATATATTGACAAATTTTTAATTATAATCAATGCTATAATTATATTTAATATTTATAAGAATTACATATACGTTTTTTAAAAAGAAAATTTATATATTGACAATTTTTAATTATACATCAATTGCTTATAATTATTATTTAATTATTTATATTATATTTTTTATTAAGTCTAAAATAATAATTTTATAACTTCCTTATTTTTGAAGATTGAAACTTAAAAATATCATTTAATGTTAAATGTGACAAGCATTATAAATCGGGATTATATTTTTTATTAAGTCAAAATAATAATTTTATAATTCTTATTTTTGAAAGATGAAACTTAAAAATATTTTTAATGTTAAATGGATAATTATAATCGGGTTTGGGATGGTTCGGGTATTAAGAATAAAACTTTACATAAATTCAAATGATTAGTTATAATCAAGTTGAGTAATTCATTTTAAGCGGTAACCGACACGTTGCCATTCCTAGCTTAGAGTGGATGCAATACAATTGATGAGGACACTTATTTATTTAAGTGGGGAATGACGTGTATTTATTTAATATGCTGGATGGTAGATAGTCAAAGAACATGCTAGGGAAGGCTTGGCGTAATACTCTCTGCCACCCTGACGCCCTGTAGGTTACAGGCATCGTATTCTAGTAAGAGGAGATAATATTTGTATATTAAAATTAAGAGGATTTGAGTTCAAAATCTCTCACTCCCCATACAAGTAGAAAGACCAACCAAACTAGAATTATCTATGATAATATACGATGTTTAAATTGTTTGAATTATAAACTTTAAATAAATTTAAACCAAATTAGTTGAATTTTATAATTATTCAAATTAAATTTATAGCATTGCAATTTCTATATGCAATAATTCAATAAAGCAATTTATGGAAAAATAAATCTTTTAATAATATATTAAATATAAATTTATAAAATATAATATATAATAATAAAACAACTCATAAGAAAAAAATAAATATTTGATTCTATTTATAAATTATAAACTATCAAAGCAATAGCGCGAGTTTATTTAAATCTAAATCTATATATTCAAATATATGAATCTAAATAAAATAGTATTATCTGTTCTACTCAAACAGACCCATAAAAGAGTTTCAAATTCGATTTAGGTTGAGTATTTTTCATCTCTAATTTGTCCTTATTCACACTTGTATATTTATATATATAGCTTTTAAAACTTTTATAATTCAAAATATACACTCAATCCCATATATGGGTAAGATTTAACAGTAAAAAAAAAAATGATATTCATCCTTTAAATATCATTTTGAATTGGAAAGCTTAAATACATGTTAAATTTTCTTTTCAAATCACATCAAAGTTTTTCATAATTGAACTTTAAGAATATATTTGAAAAGCCATAATATTAATATAATCAAATGCTTTTCTAATATAAATATTATTTTAAAAATGCATTTAATTACATTGTATTATATTTCATTATAGTCTATAAAAATAATCTCTAGTATTAAGGTCTGTTTGGCTAAATTAGTTGTTTTGGTAGTTGTTAGCTGTTTTAACGGCGTTTAGCTATTAACTGTTCGAGTAATTTTTCATGAAACGCTAAAAACTAAACATTGCATGAATTAACTTTTTGTAAAACATTATTTCAACATCTAAAAATTAATTCAAATGCTATGTTACCAAACACTATAAAAAATAATGTTTAGCGTCTTAACCGGTCAAAACGCTAAAAATTACTTTAAAAGTTATCGTACAACATAGCCTTAGTTTTTCTCTATGAAGCATAACTAAGCAGACAGTTTTAGTTTATCTTTGTATTATATAAACTTCATCAAATTACATTAAATATATAAATTATTACTTTATAATATACTAGGTATATTTATGCTAAGATATTTATATGGCAATTGTGACTTTTAACACATAATACGAAAGCGAAAAGCAACTGAAGTTACAAATTGTGCCACCTTTTGACCTAATTTTAGAATTAATAATGTTTGTGGAGATAAATTTCTAACCTATAGATGCCACCCAAAAAACAATGTGAAAAAAAAAAAAAAAAAAAAAAATGCAAACTGAAGTTTAACATAAATTGTGCCACCTTTGACCCTTAATTTTAGAATTAATTAATGTGATTGTGGAGATAAATTTCTAACCTATAGAATGTTCCCACCCAAAAAACAATGTGAAAAAAAAAAAAAATAAAAATAAAATAGTTTACTCCACTATTGACAAGTTCACATGGGACAATAACTATAGTCACTATCGTATTGTTTAGTTAAATGCTGGGTTCTTTTTAAATTTTGGAATTAGGATTTGTATTATTTGTTTTGTCAAACCTTTTGTTTTAAGGTTATTTTGTCAAAGAAAGCATAGATTAAGAGTATAGACCTAAATCATTCTAGCTATAGTATACCATAATGTATTTTGCTATCATGTAGCTAAACACCTAGAAATTGTTGTTTAAATATGTTTAGCTTTTTTTTTTTTTTTTTTTTTTTTTTTCCACTTTTACATGTGACTTTAGCATTTTCGTGTTTCATTTCTGCCTTTTACCATTGAGGTATCTACCTTATAAATAAAATATTATAAAAAAAATTGAATTTCATAATTTTCTAATAAACTCCACTTGTTATAAAATTCATATTATATATTTAATAATATACAAATTTTGCTTCTTGATAAAAGATAAAAATAAATTGAATTGCACATAAATTAATTTTTTTAAAATATTTTTATCCAATTAAAGATTATCTTTTTACTTTTTATTTTTGACATAAAAAAATTGTGGGGGTAAATGAAAGCAATACGAAGAAGCAAACCTTAATTTCTAATAAGTCAAAAATTGAGTTAGCTAATTATTAATTTCTAAGATCCTATTTGGTGAGCCATAATAGAAAGTAATTAATTATATTTCTAATCTACACATTATGTTACATTATATTTCATTACGTTGGTCGGTTTATCAAACGAAGCTTAAGGATCTAGGGTTTTTTTTTTTTTTGTGGCCCCTTCCTAATCAATAAAGAGATCAAATTAAGGGAAGCTTAATCGCAGCACAACCCTAAAGATTTAGAAACTCCTCTTATGCTATACTAAATGTTATTAAAAGCTTTGATAGTGTAAATTCATAAATAAAAAAAAAAAAAAAAAAAAAAATTTTAAAAGCTTGATAGTTTAAATTCATAAATAAAAAAAAAAAGAGAGAAAAAAATTTGTAAAAAAAAAAAAAAAAAAAAAAAAATTTGTTGGGTTGGTAAACTGCACATAATTACAAATTAAGAATTCAATTAAATGCATACATCCTTTAAAATAACAATTGTTAACATACTTTTAAAAGGTTAGTTGTTCATCCTAGTTCAATTTGTGTTTCATCAAATTGTTAGCACCTCATAGATACATATAGGTAAGAACAAGTAATGAAATATGGAATTGTTTGAACCTTTTTTTCCAACAGAATTTCTAAATAAAAGAAGAATGTGCTCGTCTGATGCAAAAAGCATTGACCCAAAACCTAGCCATTAGTCACTTTCTTCAATCTTCACCACAATACTCCAAAACAGAAGTTACTTTTCACTAACCAAAACCATGCAAATATATGAGATTAAAAGGGCTACTATGTCCTTGAAAGTTACAGAATCCCTACTTTTCTATTTTGCCTAATTGGGTATATCCTCTTTGCATTCTTCATGGTAAAAATTCTTTGTTATTTTCTCTCTTATATTGATTGTTCAGTGTATCCTTATACATAGCAAACATCAAATTGTAGGTCCAATTGTAAAGGCTATAGATGATAGATCTAAAATGCAACTATTGGTAGCTCAAATACATGAATGACAGTAAAAATACTTGCATAACAAGAAACTCTTCCTCTTTGCTGCTAAAGTATTGTCTTTAAAAGCCCTATTTTCCATCCTTCTAGTTCCTCCTCCTTTAGCTAGTTCTATGCTTATGGATCCAAATGAAATCAAGGGACTCCATTGTCTACCTCATGCAAGCTCAGCTCAAAATCTTCTTACTCTTTCTCCTATGACCAACCTAAACATGCAAAGAATCGAGTCCCATACAAATTTCTCTCAAAATCAAGAATCCACTTCAAGTTTCTTCACCAGATCGTTCTCATCCAACTCCACAATTCATTTCCCACTCCATATATTATCTCCAAACACCTCACCTCTTAGCGCAAATTCGACTCTAAATGAAACAAGTGATCATCAAATGGGAATTTCCCATGAGAGAAGACTCAAAAGGATGATATCCAACAGAGAATCTGCTCGAAGATCACGTATGCGCAAGAAGAAGCAAATCGAAGAGCTTCAATGCCAAGTTAATCATCTGCAAACCATGAATCATCAACTTTCGGAGAAGGTTATCCATTTATTAGAGAGCAACCACCAGATCCTGGAAGAAAATTCCCAGCTCAAGGAGAAAGTTTCTTCCCTTCAAATTGTCCTGTCCGACCTGTTGACACCTATGAGAAATATAGAAGAAAGCATATGCAACACCAATCATCTTAGAAGGGAAGCTTCGAATTAATCATTCTATCATCACTATCATATATGCATCTCTCCAGGGGACTGAATATATTGTATAAACTAATCTTAGTGTAATAAACTGAGTTTCTAATTCAGCTTTTACTTTTTTGTCGTGATAAGGTATTATTACATTGGCCAATGCCACTTTGTTCATTAATATTATAATTACACTTACTAGTTAACACCTTTCTTGGTGTGTTAGAGAATTTCTGAAGTAAAATAAAATAGATATTATATGAATATGACTACTTTCCTGTTAGATGACATTTTCTCACAGATTCTTTTGAAAGCCTGGTTCAAATGAGATCAAATACATATAGGAAAAGGAAGAAAATCAGGAATAGAGAGCAAGTACATAGTGCAGTAGAACAGGAGTTATATAATAACTACAATTATACCAGTAGAACCTGAATAAGAAATTAGCTTGCTACCATTAGATTACCAACAATATGGTACATCGTCATATTGGATATGAAACTTTTCTTGTTATATCTTTGTACGATGAACATAATATATATTTGTAACCCAGATAGTTGGTGGGACATTAAGATAAAAGACAGTTTTGTTTATACAAATATATCTGTAATTAAGATGGTTTATTATTCTCTCACAAATAAAGGTCCCACATAATTTCACCTGCACAGATCCCTCTAATAAATAATCCTAGCCTGATACCTCTAACCAATAACATTAACCTTATTTGCAAATCCAAAATTGCAGTGGATGCATGCGCAATGTGAAATTAAAACGCTATGTTTCATAAATTTGCTAGGAAAAAAAGGAGGCTTTAAATGACTTTCCATGCCAATGATATTCATCTTACAAATTTTTTTAAGGAGGGCATGTAGCTTAAAATTCTAGGATAGTTCATTCGTAAAACCCCAAAAGACTTGGTTGGCAAAATGCCATCACCAAATGAATTCTTGGTTATTGCTCAAGGCATCCACACCAGTATGGAGTTGCAAGGAGCAAACCCAGAGAACAAGACCCTAGAAAGACACAACTGTATTCATCAATACAAGCTTGAGCTGTTCATTATATGTCTACATAAAGTACAATAGTTCTACTGCCCAAGCAGGCATTTGAAATTCATTCTTGCATCATCACTGTCAGAGGCAGAAGGAGGGGGTGGATGAGGTGGCCACCGCCCCTCCTAACTACAAATTTTTTTTTTTGCCCTGAAAAATGTTTTCAAAAAAAAATTTTTTTTTGGCTCCCCCTAAATTTTTGAAATTTGTTTTTGCTCCAGTAAGTTTGATTCCTGGCTCCGCCGCATACAACATCACTCTTGAGACTATATGACTCTTAATTAGTCTTCAAAGGTGATAATGACAATAACAAACTCAAATTCAAAATGAAAAAAAAAAAAAGGAAGAAAATGTCTTCATAAAACTCACTTTATTTCTATAGACCTATCTCATAAGGAGCCTACAAGAATTAGGGTTCCACCTGTTGTGCACTTTCCACTTAGTTAGAAGATAGAACTCATTTTCCAACTCCTTTGAGTACCTTTTTATCTCTAGTCAACTCCTTGTCACTAGACATGACCATGATTCCAAAACTGCTGGTTTCGGTTTCAAAACAGCAGTTCCAATTATAAGAAAGGTGGACGAAACCGAACAACTTTTAGTCAGTTTCAAAACTGCCAGTTTTAGTTCCACTCCGGTTTGAAATCAAAATTAAATAATCTTTTTTAAATTTTTTAAAATTCTTAATTAGATTTGTAGCTTGACTAAATACTAATCATAAATAGTACTATTGAAAAAGACTAAACCGATTTAACAAAAAGTATTAAAAATTATTTTAAAAAATTATAATAGAACAAAAAACAAATTGGGAATTTCTTTGAGAATATACCGCCGGTTCCAATTTTAAAAAATGAAGAACTAAAACTGAATCATAAATACACGATTTCAATTATGATTCAAAACCAGGAACTGTTGACTACGGTTTGGTACCAGTTTTGACCATTTCAGTTCCAGTTTGAAACCGAATCGTGGTCATGCCTACTCATCGCCAGACCAAGGATAAAAATTAATGCAATAAAATAAATTGCCCCAATTAGAAACTCACTTTGAATATAGAATTAATATTTCTTTCTTTCCATTAATAATTCCTATTTCACTCGACTAATTGCTATTTAAGTAATTAGTGACTTCTAGGTTGGAGAACGCTAATACTAATTGCTATTTAAATAATTCATATTATGCTCGGTGATCAAGGCCTAGAAACATACATCTTCAAATGATTGAAAGGAAGAACGCTTGGTTTAAATTGGGAGGAAGAATGCATTGCTTCAAGATATATCACCATCCATCTCCCCCATTTTTCATTTAACAATTACCAAGTTCATTGACACTAATGAACAAATAATTTCCACTTCTAACACCAAGATGGGAAATTAGAAAGAAATTTTGGTTCAATTCTTCTATACTTTGTCTAGATCATCCATATATAGTTATACACAATATTCCAGTAGCGAGGACATAAGAAACTGTGTAATCAACATTTACTTGGTGGTAGCTTCTCATTTGAGATGCTGGTCAGGTTTCTGATGTTGAACCAGCATTGCTCTGTTCCTTAAAACTGTTCACTGGGTCAGCGAATGATCGAGTGGAAGGCCATCTAGTCAGAGAAAGAAAGACGGGCTTGGTTTAGGTGACAGCATATAAAATATCAACTATCGAGTGGTAGGATTCCTTTTTTATAAAAATATTTTTTTGTATTTAAGAATTGATCCTACCTGCTTGACATTATAGTCTCATCGTCTATTGTTATTTTCTCATCAAATATGTTTCCTGAAAGAAGGAAAGGGAAAGAAGAGTTTGAGGAGATATGTTCATAATCATGATGATAGGTTGAACTGTCATCGGAATAATTTATTATTAAGACTTGAGAGAATTTATGTATAACGCTACCTCATTGCTATATACAGAGAAATCTATCCAAATCAATTCAAGTATCATACTAAAAATAGTACTTGGACATAAGCTTGGTAAAACAAAAAGGAAAATTACTACAATCACCACAAGAAATGAACTGCTTAGCTGGAACAATGCAACTAGAATGAACAAGACATAGAGTCAAAAGACATTGGATCACTTATTTCATCAATTAGACTGTCAAATTACATAGAGCAAGGGAGAAAGTAAGAATAAGTGTTCACCTCCATAAAAATTTTTCTTAGAGAAATATTTTGCCATCAGCCGGCTGGTGTAGTCAGCTTCATATTTTCTGTACTTGTCCATGTTTTCTACACTGTCAAGTATCCTAACCATGGGGAAAATAAACTGCGGTAAGACTATCTAATATTGTCAAGTAGAATCATATATACATAGAAACTGGTAAACAACTATAAGAGACAAGTCTTGCCAAAGAAAAAGGGCAAAAAAAAAAAAAAAGTAACATATTTTTGAGAACCGTGAGATCCTGAAATGCTTCCTGGCAAACTAAACATAGGTAATAAATATAACATTTTAAATCAAAAAGAGGATTAAGAAACTAATAAAAATAAGGTTGAAGGGTAAGGCTTCAATTCGAAAAAAAAATCTCCCTTTTCTTAACCTTAAAACATAAATCCCTCTCTTAAGGACAATCTCAATCGAAGATAAACGCATATAGAGAGAGAGAGAGAGAGAGAGAGAGAGAGAGAGAGAGCTTACTGAAAATGGGCCAAGTCAGGGTTTTCGTGGAGGACATCGGCGACACCATTCTTAGCAGCACCATCTTCAACCTTACACATACCACCAAAGACTTCAAACCAAATCAGTTCATAAAGTATAGAACATATATCAGCAAAAAAGAGAGGCTGACCTTGGGAGAAACCAGTGAAGTGGGATGAGTTGCTGAATTCTCAGAATTGGAGGCAGCGGGCGGCGATGTTGGTGGTGATCCCATTTTTCCTTCTTCTTATTACTTATTACTCAAATTGCCTGAGACAGCTTTGCTATCTCCTTCTATCAGACCTGCGCGTACGTGCAGTGACTCATTAAATTGGGAACGACGACCGCTTGCATGGTGTACGACATCGTTTCAATTAAGCAGCGGATAGATTTCTTATATGCTATCATTTAAACACGCGGTCGTTCGACGGCCGCTTGTCTGTCGTTCATGCATACAGCATTTTCCTAATTTTAGGCTCTTCGTAACCTATCCAAACTGACTTAAATCTAACTAAATCCATAAAAAAACTGTGGTTTTATAGTTACGTTTTGTTTGTTTAAAAATTATCGCTATGTTTAGTTCAACCTAATCAATTATGTAATAAAATGAAGAATTGATTATGTAATAAAATGGAGATTACGTAAAAAATTATATTATATTATAATTCAATCTATTTAACAAAAATATATGAAATTATTGTAAAAAAATTAACTTTTTAATAATTATTTTTTATTTTATTACATGACATTTCTTTCAGCTTACTAAAGAAAATACAAATATGTCTCCTGCAAAGATAACTGCAATGTAAAATATGATGATAAAATTATGCATCGGGTCATTTATAAATATATAGACTATATCGTGCATGCAGAAAAAGGTTCATCTAGTGTAAGAAATACTTATATAAGATCGTTCTTATAAACTCACTTCCCAATAAAAAAAAATTCAAAAACCAAACAAAGAAAGGGAAATAAATTATTCTAAGATTTTATAAAGTAATTAAAGAAAGCTAGTTCCAAGGTAAATCACTTGGAGGGCACTTGGGCATCATTGTTAAGCTTGAACCCATAAGTTTTTCCTCCATTATCACATCCAAACGGTTCCCATTTCAGGCGTCAAATAATTCTCCCAATCTCCGACCTTACCTTTTCTGAAAAAAGCATTATTGTCAATAGGAACTGATGCACTTGAATGATATTTTCCATTTTTATTCACCTCCAAATTACTCATATTCTCAAAACTACACATATTTACAATCTTTTGCACCACCTCATTTTCTTCTTCCTCTATAGTAAAAGGGTAATCCATGAACTCCGCCAATGTCTTTACGTAAAAATACGTATCATCCTTCATTTCCTCGTATTTCAGGAATAATACTTTCTCGGGAAACTCTAATTTGGCTTTCCAATAACTTAAAACATGATCCCAATAAGGTCCGTTGGTTACAATTCCTTTGCAAAAAAGCTCAAACGCTTCTTCCAAAGGAATTGGTTCATCGTTACTATACATGAATATTTTCCCAAGAAAAAACCACAGGGAAATAAACACATCTTTTGGGTCTCTCCATATATAAACAATTTTGCAACCACAATCAAGAATTGATTTTGGCAAAGAAGTATATGGAATATGTGTACCCAGAAGAGGAATTTCAATAATTTTCTCCATTTTATCATATTCCAAGAAAGGAATGCACTCGTGTGGTCCTTTAGTGTATAAAGGGCTAGTATTTGTTGAAAGATCGAAGCTTAAACGAGTAATAATAGCAAAAGCCATAGATTTAAGCCATGTGGTTCCAGTTTTCATGAAACTGGCTAAGATTATATCTGTAGGTTTAGCTTTGAAGTTTTCTTGAACAGAAAGGACTCCTTCCAAGATGAAATCCATGTACCAAAAACCCTGGTACTGGTAAAAATCCTCAATAGAGTTTGCCCAATTTTTTTCTCTTGGTAAAGTTGACATCATTTCTTTGTATCTATTAATCGGAAGATCTTCAGTTTTCTTGATTGTCTCTTCATCATTTTTTTCAAGGTCATGGATTTGAAGAGAAGGTGATGATGAAGAGGACTCCATAGCTATAACTAAAGCCAAGAAAGAAAGAGAAGGTTATTTTGACAAGAAAGTGGAGATGACTATATATATATAGGTCATGGAATTTGAAGAGAAAGGTGATGATGAAGAGGAACTCCATGCTATAACTAAAGCCAAGAAAGAAGAGAAGGTTAATTTTGAAAAGAAAAGTGAGATGACTATATATTATATATATATATATATATATATATATATGTTACGTAACTGTAAAGCCGTTGTCGGTCTTGCATGAAAAGAAACTATATATATATATGTACGTAACTGTAAAGCCGTTGTCGGTCTTCATGAAAAGAAACTTCTTTGCTTTGACAAATGACTTCAGAATTTCACTATTAGACAAATGCTTGGACTTAAGGATTGACAAATGTTTATTTATATCTGGTGCAAGCGGATCTATTTTGATTTTGTTGAATTTTAAATCTTGGGCTTTAAGCCAAATTGTGTTAAACCATTGGTTACAGGCAAAAACTAGTTTTGGTCACAATTCAAGCGTTATGCATTTTATTTTTTCGTAAAAAAAAAATAGTTAATATGAATTCTGCAAAAATATTTAGAATAATAATTAAAAGGAAACAAATCATGAATTTAAAAAAAAAAAATGAGAAGAAAATAAATAACTTTAGTTATAATATGTCAAAAAAAGTTACTAATTAGATTTCAATAGCTAAACCAACTTGGAATGACATGGCTAAGAGAAGCCATTTGCATAACTGAGATTTTTAAAGCTGCACACACAGAGAGGATCTTAGTGTATGTTGGCATCGCATTTGTATTTTTGTAATCCATAAATTATTTGACATAGGCTCATGGTTTAATTATTTATTTTGTGTTTGAAATCCATTTTAATTAATTAATATTAGCCACGTAAAAAATTGGCTAATGGAAGTTCTTACTGAAGCAAAAGTTTATAATTTCACCAACTGGTCATAAGCTGCCCGGAAAGGAAGAAACGAAGGGAAAGGAGTGTCGTAACCCTTGGGCTACCGCTAATAGTTTGTTTGGCTTTTCATGCAATACATGCGACATCAATAAAAATGGTACGCCTGCAATTGAGGGTCTTCGAAAAAAAAACACCAAATAAGAAAAGGAAATCGAAAACTTTTGATACAAATGGTAAATTTTTTACTAGAAAACCAAATTGGAAAGATTTGAATTTTGATATGATAAAAAGTGGTCTTTATACATGGCAATAAATCACTACTATTAAAAATTAATAAATGTATTTATTTACACTCCATATTATTTTTATATTTATTGAACCAGAACCGGTCCGACCGCTTTACAGCCTAATTCTAATTTGTCTATGAAACATACACCATAAAAAAAACTGAATTTTCATCAGAAAAGAAATAGTTATTGCAATTCGTGGGCTTTACAACTTACACAAAAAAAATGATTACAAAGTTTTTTTCCAAGAGTTTGTGATTGGGCTCAGTAAGGCTGTTTAGGCCTTTTCAGTGTCATTTTGCATCAACTCGACCCAATTGAACATTCTGCGGGGGAGAAAAAAACAAAAGTTCCAAACAGCTGGAGTTGGAAAATTTTGTTGGTTAGCTGATTCCAAATTTGACTTCAGGCTGTCCCACAATATCTCAATTAGCGACTTTTGGCCTCAGGCAAAAAGCTACTGCAAACAGCCAATAGAGTACTTCTCTTTTAATTTTTGCATATATAATTTGTATAAAATATTTTTAGAATTAATCCATATTTGGCTATAAAAAAAGCCTGATTTTTTTTTTTAATTTAGCCAATATTTTTAATTTTATTAATTACTATCTCAGACGTATTTTTTCTTATCAATTACAGTTCTTGTTCAGGGCTTGTTACTTTGTTTTTTATTTGGCTGTTGGTAACTCCACAATATGCCAACTTACATTTACGTGGCTATTTTTTGTGTCATTTATTATTGCTTGTAGAATCTCTAAATTGTAAGATTGCATTGTTGAGATAATCTTATTTTCATCTCATTGCAAACTTTAAAGAATTTTGTACAGTTATATAATTAAAGGACCGACTCTTGATAAATTCTTTGAGAGCAATTCGCACCATCAGCGATCCCAAATAGTACTTCTTAACATATTAGGTGTGTTTGTTTTTATGATTAAGCCTTTATATATACTTGCTTGTTTAGTTAATTTTGTTTGAATTATTCAAATTGGCAAATTGGTAAATTCATATTATAATGTTTAATGAGTTTTTTTTTTTTTTTTTTTTTTTTTTTGTTATAATAGAGTTTTTTTTTTTTTTTTTTTTTTTTTTTAGAATTTTTTTTTTTTTTTTTTTTTTTTTAGAAAACTTGCTTAAGTTAAAAATAACTTGAAAAGGAAAGAAAAGGGCTTGTACCAAATTGCATTGAAGAGGGTTGTTGTCAATGCTTTCAAAAATAAGGAAGTGATACTAAATAAGTAATTAATTAATTAAAGAAACAACTTATTTGGCCTTTCCATGAGAAGTATGGCTTTTGGAGACTTGAACAAGAGTACAATAGACATAGAAACTTTCTTTCTTAATCTTAATCTAACAAGGGATGTGTGAAAGTTACTCAACATTATGCATGTTTCATGGAGGAGACAAATCACCGATTACTTGATTGTGACATTATCAAACAAGATAACACAAAAGTGCTAAATGCATGGAATATGCTTCTTCATCCATCTATTATTTTATCACAACCCTCGTAAATACGCAAATTTTAATTACAGTTTAAAATCAAAAATCATTAACCATTTAGGTTCAATTTAAAATTAACCCGAGTCATATCTAATTATATAACCAATACACATAGAAGCCACTTGTACTCTCACTGTTAAACAAAATTTTTTATTCACTTTTGAAAATAATTTTGTTATAAAAGGGAAAAGACAACAAAGAAATAAAGAGGATGTTGTCCTTTATGTAAAGCAAATGGACATTGTGGCGGTTTCTTTTTTAAACATCTCCAGCTTAATTGTTTTATGAATAAATAAAATTAAAATAAAGCTAAGCACTAAGATTTTCATAAAAAAAATCCCTAACTCAAACATTAAGATTAAGGTTGCTGAATTATGATAAGGAAATTAAAATTAAATTTTGTAACTCTTTTAGCAAAATCAAATAATTCTTTTGTAAATAAATAAAATTATAAAAGTTAAAGGTTTCAGTGTATTTCATCGAAATTTTCATAATTTTGATAAAAAAAGAACGTTATATTTTATTTCGTGTAATATATATATATAAAAAATTCTTTAAAAATCAGTTGGTAAAATTTTGCTTAGTACATACATTGATATCAAATCACTTTCAATTGATCATATCACTTTTTAATTAATTAATATGCAGACATATAATTATTATTACATAAAATATAAAAATATTTAATATTGAATTGAAATTATTGTTATCGGCAATCATATCACACGCTCTCTCTTTTCTTTAGCTTTTTTTACCTCCTCATTGCCTCCAAATACCGACAAACTAAGAATATAAATAAATAAATAAATCGGTGGCGCGCACATTAGCAAAACGGACGCCAAAAAGACACCTGTGGAGCTAATGGAGACGTGATATCACGTGACACCGAGTGCTGATCCCGAAATTTCCGTTTTCATACTTTATCCTATGCGGAGAAGACCACTGATCTACTGTGTTTCCGTCTAATAAGCTGCTAGCTTTAATTCTCGGCTATTATTATTGGATGAATGCTCTAATTTCTCCAATCTCTTCTTGCAAACGTTCATTTTCGTCTCAACTCTCAATTTGCACGTATCAGCTCACAATTCTTTCTCTCGAGCTTAATAATGATTTTTTTTTAAAAAAATAAGGCTCAATTTAAATTTATCGTCCATATTCAATTTGCTTAAAAATTAATTTTTTTGTTAAATTTATCACTTAAACTTACACCAATAAAATAAAATGTTCAGTTTTTAAAAAAATGTTTTTTATAGTTTTAAATATTAAAAATTACTTAAAAATTTAAAATTAGAACATAAAAAATATTTAAAAAATATAATAATAATAATAATAACAATTTTACATTATTTGATTTAAAAAAAAATTAACAAATAATTTTAAAAAATTATCGAATGATGCGATTATATTGAATTCGATATCACTATATGCACTTACCGTTAGTTTATGTCTTGATATACAAAGTAGAGTAGAAATATTATTAATTAGAGCTATCGTTAAAATTCTTATTAGATAAAATTTTGAAATACCAATTAAATTTGTATTTTTTTAGTGGTTAACTGAGAATTGAGTATCTCTAAAATTATTTAAAACTTATCAAAAAAATTAGGAATGATATCTTCTAATCCAATCTATATTTCACGTAAAACATATTATTTGATCCATAAAATATAAATAAAATTATAATTACACTTAAAAAATTATTATAGATTTCATATGACAAAAATCAAGTTTATTCTCATATTAATTGAAATCGATTGTATAAATGATCTTTTTCCATTATCTGTTTTCATGTGATATATTATATATTCATTTTGGGTATATATAGTATTTTTATATATAGTAACATATCCTATGGATTTCTTATGTCCATGTTGTTGGAATCCGTTGATAATTTTCATGGCAAAAAAAATATAAATTATTTTAGGATGATTATTTTATTTTAAAATATAAAAGCATCTTCAATACAATTATGGATTTTGGCTAATGTGTCTTAATAACTAAAAGTCGTAGACAATGATATGGTTGAATGTGTATCTATAGATGTTAAATTTTAAAAATGACTCTAATGCAAGAAATTTATTTCGGCGTAAGAAAAAGTTTGATAGTAAATAAAAAAGAAGGCATAAAGGACAATCAAAAAATAAGAAAAAAAGAATAAATAGGAAAAACAAAATAAAAAGACGAGTCACGTTATTTAATAGACCCTCTAAGAATAAAAAGCATAATGAACAATATTACCTTTTTTTTTTTTGACACATCAGACTAAAAGATTAAACAGACAATACCATTGAAGGAGGATTTTATTTTTAGCTATCAAATTTTCAGACGTGGCAAATAAATTAAAGCAATTCGTGGTTGCATTTGAGATGATTTGAGACATTTTTAAGTATTTTAAGGAGTAATAAGTAATTTATTTTTTAAATTTTACCCTTATTTATATTAAATACAATAAATATCTTTACAAGTTATCATTAGTTTTAAGATAAATGATAATCTGATTAAACTATCCTTAATTTTATTATAATTTAGAAGAATTAATTATTTCTTTAATTATCATATAAAAACTTTAAAAAATCTATATTTTAAAACAGAGGGAGTAACGAATAGAAAAGATACAAGATTTAAATTTAAGCAAAATTACATATCTAAGTATTGCAATGGTAAATTTATGAAACCATATAATCCAAATTTACTCGGATATACCTAAATGGAAAGAAATTAAATGAATTTGTATATATGCATTTAATTAGAAAGGACAAAAGAGTCATTCTGATTTTATAATACATATTCTTCCACAATAATAAGAATAAAATCAAAACAACATTCAAAATTTGGAAGGCTTACCAACTATTATGTTTTCCTCTTTCAAAAAAAAAAAAAAAAAAAAAAAAAAAAAAAAAAACTTTTCCAAAAACAAAAAAAAAAAAAAAAAAAAAAAAAAAAAAAAAAAAAAAAACTATTATGTGACAAACACCAATCACATAACATCACACACTTTTTTGGATATTTCTTAAATGAGTTTGCTTTTGTATTATTATTATTATTATTATTATACTTCGTCCGTTACATGAAACTAAACTTATTTTTATTTCACCCACATTAAAAAAGTTAGTTAATATATTTCTAATTCCACACAAATAAAAGTAACTAATATTATTTAATCATAAACTTTATTTATCCTAAAAGAATAAATTTTATCTATAAAAAATTTATCTATATTTAACATTACTCTTATATCAATATCATTTTTTTTTGGAAAGAAATCAATATTATATGTAATTTTCAATATAAAATAATAAAAAAAAAAAGTTGATAACAAGGCATATTAAGTAGGAGTGTTACGGGAGCATTAAGGAATTAATTGTATCCAATGGAAAAACTATAAATAACAAAACATATTAAATAGAAGTATATTAGAGAATTAAAAATGAACTTCACCTTCAAAAAGGAAAATAACATATAATTTCTAATCAATAAGAAAGGAAAGTAAATCTAATTTTACGAGAAAGAGGGAGTATCATAATAATACTACTAAATAAAAAATTCATTTATCTATATATATTTATATTTATTCATAATTGATACTATTAAATTTATTCATAATCGAATTGACAAGACTAATAATTTTTTTAATACTTGAGATGGAGCAGTTTGTTGCAATTCGCACATTTGTCGTGGCGAGTTTGATTAATAAAATTAAAATCCTTTTTAAAATTTCAAATTTATAAACACAAATTTCATTTGAAATTGTAGGCTAATTAATTTTATTATTATGAATGAAATACAAAAAAAATAAAATTTCATTTTTATATTAAAAAAAAAACTGTCAAAAGAAAAGAAAAAAAAAGGTGGGCATTGAGCGGAAAGGATGTAACTGATGCCATTTGGTCCCCCCAGTACATAGTTCTTTTTTAAAATAAAAATTAAAGTAGAAAAAAAAAGAAAAAAGAAAAAAAAAAAGAGAGTAGCCAGCCAGCTCGAATATGGTTAAACGAGCTGACAATGCACTATCATCGTCGTCACGTATATCATCAATCTTACCTACTCGTAGGCATCAGTTAACTATTAACATTTAACAGTAGCAATTCCCTCCGACTCTTTCTCTTCAATCTCTCTGGTGGCGTCACTTTCTCCGGCCAAAAACCAGAACCAAAATAAAAAAAAAGCCATCTTTGACTTTTTTCTGAACTTCTTTTTTTAGCTTCTCTCTCTACAGACATCGTTGTCAGTCCAATGCTTTTCTTTTTCTATTATTTTTTATTATTCAGAGATTAAAATAAGAAGAGGAAGGAGAAGAAGCAGCAGCAGCCAGAGCTTCTGCTCGGGATCGATGCTTTAAAGTATTACTATTGCTGTTTGGGTAAGTGGGACATTTTGTAATCTGGGTTAAGTTCAATTGATGAATTCCCTTTTCCATTTAATAAAAAATAATTGGAAAATTGTTGGGTTTTTCGCTTTGAGAGGTATTTATAGCTAAAACTGAGGCTAATTAATAGGTGAAGATGATACTGGAAGAAAAGTGCGAGAGAGAAAAAGAGAGACAGCTTGCTGCTATTCAGCTGGGCATTAATTGCAGAGTAGAGTACAGATATAGAGAGAGAGTGTGGGTGTTTTGCTTTGTATATTTCTGTTAATAGTTGACCTTAATATTAAGGTTTAGATTACCAAATAATTACAGCACTGTCATATCTATTTCTCTCTCTCTCTCTTTCTCTCTCTATCTCTCTCTCTACTTGTCTCTGTTTCTAAATTTATTTTATTTTCCTTATTCTATCAGCTCTCTGCCTGCCGCTCTCTCCAAAACACTGAAGAACTTGGGCTTTTGATTAAATCCTTTCTATTATTATTCTAAATTATAAATTTCCCACTTAAATTCATCTATGGACATGGAATGTTCTCCATTTACTTCTTTGCAGGTCCCTTCTTCTCTCTATATATCCTTTTTTACTTTTGTTTATGTTTTTGGCTTTCTCCTTAATTTTATCTTTCTTACCATTTCTCTGTTTATCGTTGCTGTGTTGATTTTTTGTTTCTATTTTTCTATTTTTGCAGTGAGTTTTTTTTTTTTTTGAACAGAGTGCATGCTGATTCTGATTCTGAAAGAGTAAAAGGAAGCTACTAATCCTCTACAAGTTAATCAAAAAGGTATTTTACTGTTATTATATTATTTGTTTTCATTATTATTGTTTTCTTTTTGTTTCCATTTTGAAGCTTATGTGTATGTTGGGATCTGCTTTCAGATCTCTCGTATTCCTTAATTTTGGTTTCTACTGTTTTTTTTTTTCTTGTGAGATTATGCTAAAATTCAAAAGCCATCTGGGATATCTTCTTTTAGCTTCTAGATTTCCATTCTTTTAAAAAATTTCTAATAGTGACTACTTAGATCTGATCAAAAGCTACCAAACAGAAAGAAGGTGGAGCTGGTACAGGAGGAGGGTCATGTATTTTAATCTGTTTATAATTAAAATACCGAGTAACTATTTATTTTGTTGAAAGTTTATGTAAGCTTTCGTAAAAGTTAAACTTTCATCTTGTCCTCTAGCATATATAGAGGACAGATTTAGGATTCCATATGGTTAGCCGAAAGTTTATGTCCCTGGACTCATCTTTTTTGTAGCCATTATTTTTGAAACAAATAATTGCATAAGTTTTCATAATTCTTAAATTAATGACATAATCTGTCTTGTGTCTTTGTTATGGTGGTTTACAGTTTAACGAATGGAAGGCATCTTTTCTTTCCAGGATTAGTTCATATGCTGATATGTTATCTTGACTTCATTATTCTTTGTTTTTCTGAGGTACATAAAGTATTTATGTTTATAATTGATTTTTCTTCCCCTTTGGTAATTTGACCAGTAAATTCAAGGTTGATAGTTGTTTCTAGTGGTTTAAATTTGGCTACGTTTTCCACCTGAAAATTTTAATACCTATTTACCACCATATATTTGACCCATGAAATTTATGCTCTGTTACTTTTAGCTTCTAAGATCTGTTCTGCGTCGAATTGCTAGTTTTATTAACTTATTTTGGATCGAGGTGCGTCCTTTCTCGAAAACTTGGACAACCTTTTTTCAATAGCCTATTAAAGCTTTCTTCAAAACTCGGACAACCTTTTTTCAATAGCCTATTAAAGCTTTCTTCTTGTTGTTAGTTGTGAAAAACTTCGTAGTAATTGGTGACAGCTAAATACCTGGTTTCAGTTGTGTCCTTTCAGAATTTCTGCAGAAAGTTGTCAATTCTTTTCTTGATATAAAATTTTTTTTATGATATTTTTATCTAGAGCATCTTTGTAATGATTTCTCTCATATTATTATTTTTATGCAGAGTGCTGTTATATAGTTTTGCTTGCTTGCTTTCTCACTTAATTCTAATGGGCAGGATAGATCACACTCTCTTCAGTTCAGTGCCTTATGCTTGAAGGTATCACCAACACTAAGTTGAAGAAGTAGACAATCTTACATCTTATGTAATCTATATACGTGAATCATGAAACTTGGTAATGATAATATGCCTTTAATTGACCTCTACTTTGTTTCTTTTCTCTCTGTCTAATATCTATGATGGTTAGCTTGAGTTAAGAGCGCTGTGTTTTTCTTTTTTTGGTTTTCTTTGGCAACTATTGTTGAGAGATTTTCAGTTTCACAGCTCTTTTGATATAATTTTGATGCTGGAGTATTTTCCTTGTTCAATAAATCTTGTACTTGGAAAATTTAAGTTTATCGAAAGAAGTAAAATTTAAGTTTATCAAAAGAAGTTCTATTAATTTCTCCATTTCTTAAAACAGGATGATGCAATGTTGCTTAACAGGGCAGGCAAATTTATTTTGATGCATCCTGTGGTTTACTTGTTTCTATTTTGTTTTTCATTGCCTTGTAAATTTCTTTGGGGCCAGTATCTTTTTGACTTTCTCCTATAACTCATATTTTCAATTTGTGTTCAAGTTTGTTGGTGTTACATACATTTTTGATACTATTTGTCTGATCACTGGTTTCACTTCCAATTGAATATTGAACCTTGCAGACGGTGAACAAGTATTATGCCATGGAACTATTGACCATAAGCCTGGCTCCAAACATTTTGGATGCAGCAATATTGCTTTGGACTCCACTGGACTTAAATCTGGAAATGGGATTGTAAATGAAGAGCAGAATGGGGCCTTCTGTGATTTGAAGGGAAGGGAAAGCAATTCAGATCATTTACAATATACTGTCAATGACGAAAATAATTGGACTGCCTCAAAACTCGATTCCTCTATGAGGGCAGATGCTTTGACAGATGATAATGAGAAGGAAGTAAGAGATTTCGTGGCACCAATACCATTATCTCTTTCTTCACTGAAAGTTGAATCATTTGAAGGCGACTCAGTTTTCTATGTAGACAAAAATGTGATGGAACCGGAACTGCCTGAGTTGGTTGTTTGTTACAAGGAGAATACTTACCATGTAATTAAGGACATCTGTATTGATGAGGGAGTTCCCTCCAAGGACAAGTTCTTGTTTGATACAATAGATGAGAAGAATTTGCGTACACTTCTGTTTCATGAGAAGCACAGAAATAGTGAGGTCAGAAAAGAAACCGCTGACCAAGATATATTTATTCCAGAATCTCTGAAATCTTTGCCAGAAGATGAGAAGTCGGCTCTTGATTTGCCCATTCCCGATGTTTTTATATCTTCAGCGGAAAACGGTTCTAAAAATGAAATTTCCCTTCATGATTCTGAGGAGTTTATGACAACAGGGAAAATAGAGGATGATACAATGGAGGAAATTGCAAATGGTAAATCCAAAGAGATTTTTTCACTGGGAGAATTGCTTTCAATGCCAGAGGTGGGTACAGAGCTTTCCCAACCCAAGTTTTCCCATGATAGCATGCATGAAGCTAAACAGCAGCCTATTCAGGTATTCATGTCTAACATTATTTCTGTTTTGGCAAATCGTTTTAAGAATTGTATGGGTTTGTTCTGTTTGAGATGAAGCATTTGTTTTATTTACTTGCAATTGAAGTATGAGATGTTTGCTCTGTGCGTGCGCGTGTGAGGTCTTTGAAGTTTAGGGTCGACAATGATGGAGTTCATGACAACATAGGAGCACAAATTGTTCCTGCATCCAATGATCAAATCTTTTTGGGCAGCATAACAAAATACGGTGCTTTATTCTTTATGATAGTAGGCCATATATAGGGATTGATAGGTTCTCCACTGAGTCCTTGATTCAGTATAGTAGAGTGTCAAGGAAGTTTCTGTCCTTTTCTTTTTCTTTTTTAATTCTAGGAGGCAGTTTGTCTGATATCATTGAACTTGATGGTTTTAGCGCTTCTAATGCAGAGGCCAAGTGAGAACACAATCTTAGCGACAGCTTCTTCCTGTGATGAAGCTAAAAATGGCAATGAGCTAACATCCTTCGTGAGACCTATGGTTCCTGCAGCTGAAGTATCAGATTGTCATCATGACGAAGAAATCTCAAGAACCAAAGCATTGGACCATAGTTATGATGAAGCTGTCTTAGCAAGTCCTGCTCTGAATTCTGCTACCCAAGAATCTGAAAAAGTTTGCGAAGGAGAAAAATTAGCGAGCCACAATTTGAGTTCTGAGCGTGAATCAACCAATATAAGTGGCTGTGGATTAGCTAACAATAGTAATGTGAAGTCTGAAAGCATAAATTTTTATACACCAGCAAGTGCAGGAGAGGAGGATTCTCAAAATGGTGGCTCTGAAAATCTTAATTCTCGCTCATCCAGGCTTGAAGAGACAAACACAGAGCCATGTACAAGTCAACTTCAACATGGTATTGGAGAGTCAAGCTTTTCTGCTGCAGGTCCTCTATCAGGTCTGATAAGTTATTCAGGGCCAATTGCATATTCTGGCAGTCTCTCTCTTAGATCGGATAGCAGCACAACCAGCACTCGCTCTTTCGCTTTCCCAATGTAAAATAACTATCAAACTAATTATTTCCTGTTCTTTATCTGCATCTAACATATCAATATCTGTACACTCCATACTAATAATTTGATTTTACTTTATTGCTTCTACAGATTGCAATCTGAATGGAATAGCAGTCCCGTGAGAATGGCTAAAGCTGACCGGAGACGTTTCCAGAAGCAGAGGAGTTGGAAGCAGGGGCTTCTTTGCTGTAGATTCTGAATGCTCTGTTCTGTTAATAGCTTGAAGTCAAAAAAATATATACACATCATTAATTATTACAATTTTTATTAATGATTTAGAGTAGTACAAAATATACATATTTCTGGTTTCTCTTGCTTGGGATGTATGTGCAGTAGGTTACATTGGCCATGCTTTTAGGTTTGGTTTCTTGCATGCCAGTTGAGATATAAGCAAATATCTTTTAGTTTTGTTATTTTTTTTCTTTTTTTTTATCTAACCCATCCTACATTTGTTCTTTTCTTCTTCTTCTTCTTCTTTTTTTTTCCAATTCTTTATATTTGTTCATATTATGTGGAATTTCCTTTCTATTAATTCTGATTAAATTTCAATATGCAAAGGTTGTGTTTGTTATTTCAATATGCAAATATGCAAATATTCATGTTCGAGGTTAAGCATTCTTGTATTTAGCTTAATAATGAAATAATCCCAATCCTCCAATGTTCAGAAAAATAAAATAAGAATTTCATATTTGGATAAATGTATTTTGAACGTTGTTTCATGAGTTTTTTCTGGTAAGTAATTGGTATTTATTTAAAAACAATTAATTCATATTTATATTAAATCTCAATTATATTAATCCTATAAAAATAGTTACTTATAAAACCTTTTTTCAGAATTCGAATTATTATATGATTATTTTATTTACAATTATTTAAAAATAATGAATGAATGGTAAATAAATATTATTATAATTTAATTAATATTATAAAGAATAATATATCCACTTTAAAACATAAAAAAATACTCCAAAAGTATAAGATATGTTAATATATTCAAATAACTATACTTTAATAATTATTTTATATTTAATTAATAAAGTGTTAATCGAAGTGGTAAACGATTTTAATTACCGTAAAAGTGAGAATACAAATTTGATCTGCTCTACAGTCCGAGGAGATTAAATCTCTTGATTATATTAAAAAAAAAAATTATATTTTTAATGTTTTTGAAACTTTTTAATAATAACTAGTGTTATATATGGAATAACCTAATCCTAAAAAATTGAAGAAGGTCGGTCTCGTGCTCTACATTCACATTTATTGAAGCCAGAGATGGCTGGTGGTTGGCTCCTCCCTCCAATAGAATGGCTAGATTCCACATTCTTTGCATCACTTCTCTCTTTATTATTAATTTCTTTTCCAATCAAATCAATATTTTGGTTCCGTTTGTTATGCTTGTGGTTCAGATAATACAATGGGCATTTTCAAAAAAAAAAAAAAAAAAAAAATGTGTGGTTCAGAATAATACACATGGGCATTTTCCAAAAAAAAAAAAAAAAAAAAGGAGATAATCCAATAGGGCATCCCCGCTTGCACCAAGAATCATAAGCATACAAAAAAAAAAAAAAAAAAAAAAAGGAGATAATCCAATAGGGGCATCCCCAGCTTGCCAAGAATCAATAAGCATACACTTATATTTAATCTAATATAATTTATGATTACATTACCTTAATTAAACATTCTCCACCTAATATAAGGGGGTGAAAAATAAAATTACTATTGCATATATAAATATAAGCTAAACTTTTTTTTTAAAGAGAAATATAAGCTAAATCCATTGACAAGTAAAAATTTATAATTAAAAGATTGAGCGGATGAAAATTCGAATCTAAAAAGTCATAGCCTATCAATTTAAGACATCAACTTTAACTAAAAAGGAATATATATTGTCTAATTGGATGATTGAAAGGAAAGTGATAATGAGTTGGCTTGCTTCCGTTTAGCTTAGAAAAAATAAAATGTAGATAATCTAGATGATGAAATTGTCAAATATTTTCCTTTTCCATCAAGGCAAAGAATTAAAGATTGTGATGTTTATTGGTTTATTCTCTCATTAAAACACACATCTTTATAATAATAATAATAATAATAATAATAAAAGATACATAGATCTTATTTACAGGGTTTGATAGGGATGTGTGTAGTGTAGTGTGAGACATAGTTAGAAAACACAAATATTAGTGTGAAAAGCCTCCTAAAAAGGAAGAATATGTATAGGATTTCCATGTACTTGTTTTGGAATTCTTCTCTTTGTGCTTTGTGTTTGTTTGTTTGTTTGTGTATGCTCTCTCTCTCTCTCTCTCTCTCTCTATCTCTTTTGTATGTTTGTTATGTACTTACCTTCTTGGCCATAATATAAGTATCCATCACATGCTAAAGAAAATTGATCTCCCAATGCAAATTGATAATAATAGCAAGTCTTGTTAGAAAGAAAAATGGAGTTTCTAGTCATTTTCACTACCCTATCTTTCTGCCTCTCTATGCTTCTACCAACACCTTGTGTTGCTATGCACATTCATAATGAGCAAGGTGAGTAATTCATCTTTTTTTTTTTTCTTCTTAATTTTGCTATCTTATCATGCGTGCGCGTATAGGCATATTGTTCATATTTTTATATATTTATTAAATTTATCCATATCAATTATATGAACAGGCAATGTTGATGAAATTCAGTTCCCCCTCTCTATACTTCCGAGAAAGCTTAGATTACTCTTTAATGAGAAAGTATTTGTAAGTGATTCCTGCATAGAACTGTATACATATATATATAAGTAACCTTAAATGTATTTAAATTAACTTTTCACTAATTTTCATTCTTAATAGGTTCATGGTCGTGAAGGTCATCACCGTCAAAGTTTTACTTCAAACAATAATCAAAAAGAAGATGCATCATTTTCAGGTATTTATATAAATTTAACCGAACTTAATCAAAACTCATAAATTGAGTCGATACAATGTTGAACCCAACATTTTTTTTTTTTTTTAAAAGAAAACTCAAGCTAAAACAACACATTGTTGTCTTTCCCATATATAGGATGATTATATTCTTAATATTTATAATTTCCTTTATTAATAATAGATGTTATATATATATATATATATACACACTATCTAATTCTGTTGAAAATTTTAGCTATGGTAGTTAACTTCCCACATATATTGTGAGCTATACAACAAAAGTACCTCCCTCTTGACTCATCAATTTATGAAAACTCTCGTGGTCGAAAGAACTAAAACTTGAAATCTCTCATTTCCTATATTAGTGAAAAGACCAATAAGACCATATCTAATTGACAATAAAATTTATTCTTTCCTTTTTTTTTTTCTTTCTCTTTATTGATTTATTAATGATAATGTAATATTTAACTTTGTTCAGGAAAAGCACACAACAAGGAACAAAATCTAATAATACATGGAAATAGAGGGACCAGGCAGGAATGGATGGAGGAGTTAGGACCCGACACATCCCAATATTTTACAATGGATTATTCCCATGTTAAAAGAAGAATTCCTATACATAACAAAGGCTTGCCGGTTGGTCCATGAAACATGGATTAATGGCTGCAAGACAAAAATCTAAATCCATCTTAACTAGTACAGCACCAACAGTTTTGCCCTGAAACTAAGTACTCATGTTTTTTGTAATTAGGGATATAATTAAAGGAGTGTATGTTTTTGTTTTCTTATTATTATGATAATGTCTCTTATGGCAGACATTAGGGAGCAAAACCCTAAAATTTTGTTAACTAATTAGTAGAATTATCACTATTATAATCCTATTATTTGTAAGTGTGATGAAAGTCTAATTAATTATCATTATATAAATCTTAATGTTAACTTTTTATTGTTCTATGAACCCTTTTTTAATAATTACTAGTCAAATTTGTGGTTCCAAAGTTCAAACTCCAACATTTAGTATGGACTAATTACTTGATTAATATAATTATACTAAATTAATTAAAATCTATATAATATATTATTATGTGTTAGAGATTATATATTTTATTATATACTATAATATATTAATCCTTCTCTTGGATTTATGGACCTTTTTCCTAAGTAGTCAAATTTGGGTTTCAAAGTTCGAACTCCAACATCTAGTAACATGATCTCAATTTTTCTTTCTGGTAGTTTATAATTTTTTTTAAAGGAAATCCGTGGTATTGGAAATATCTTCAATAATCATACATCTAATTTACCGTATTATCCAGGGAAGGAAGTCAGTTATAAGAAGGGGGAATCCAATCACACAGTGGGCCTAAAATCCATTAAAACATTCATTGGGCCGAGTGCTTTGATTTAGGCCTGCGTTAAGTGATTACTTCTAAATCCTTAATTTACAACAAGTTAAATTTATATACCAAAAATTTATCACCAATTTAATATTAAATATATTAAATTATTTTATCCGAATGAGTAAAAAACTGGCTCCATTTAAATTTTGAACTTTATGAATTTTAAAAATAAAAATTTTGATTTACCTTATAATGTTTCATAATCTTTTTTTTTTTCAAATTATAAACACTAATATAACCTTCTAAAAAAAATTAATATAAATACTATACTACTGAGTAATATAAATATAAAAAAATATATTAAAAGCTGTTGCCAAAAGGCTTTAAAATAAAAACTTATAAAAAATATTGAATTATATTTAATAAAACATCTAATTTTGCTCGACATTATCTTAATTTAATAAAATACTATCCACCTTATCCATCACTTCAAAACTCACCGACAGGAAACGTCGTCGTATATTCTTCCAATGAATAAAACTTTATTCTCTTTGCAAGAAGTTAAAACGAAGAACGTAATGAGACGAAGAAAGTCCCGCAAGTAAATAAGCATTACAACTTAAAACAAAGAACGTGAAAATGGAAGACATATGGAAGAGGGCAAAGCTCTTCGCAGAAGAAACGGCCAAAAAATCACAAACCCTAACTTCATCCAACAAAATTGCTGATCTAGTCGCCGAGACCGCTAAGAAATCCAAAGAGCTCGCATTGGAAGCGTCCAAGAAAGCCGATGAGCTGAAAACCGCCGCTCTTAAGCAAGCCGATCAGATCCAAATCAAGTCTATTTCAGATATCATTCCTCCTCAACTCTCCTCTCTCTCGATTGTGAATTCTTCTTCCTCTTCTTCGGGATCGGCGGATTCGGATACTGAGGAGCTTCGCAAGTTTGGCGTCACTGATGATTTGAGAGATTTTGTTAAGGGACTGACTTCCAGTACTTTCCAGAACTTTCCAATTCAAGGTACCACTGCTTGGATTGATACTGGGAATTTCATTTTTTATGTTTGTTTTGTTCTATAGAATTTTGATGATGGTGATGAATGTTGTAGATGAAGCTGAGGTGTCTGATGTGCCGACTACTGCATCAAATGTACGGAAAGATCTTAATGAGTGGCAGGAGAGACATGCCACACTCGTGCTCACTAACGTTAAGGTAATATTTCGCTTAAATTTTGTATTTTTCTAATATATTCTTGCATTTTATGTTTTAGAGTATAATTGTGCAATTCAATATTGTATTGCATTTCTAAGTTAAATATTTTATCAGAAAAATTGAAGTATATCGTCGTTTGGGTCAACATATTGAATCTTTAGACACAATGCTGCAATAGTTATTGGGTTTTTGATTGAGCTATGTATAGAAGCTGCATAATGCTGCAGCTACCTTTCTCCTTGAAACTCATTTTGCCAAAGTTTGTGTAAAATTGTTGAATATATTTGCTTTTAGTTTTGGATTTATTTAATTTAGATCACTTCAAAACTTGGGATTTGTTTCGGTTTCTGTGGAGATGCCTTAGAAAGTGACGTGAAAACAAGGGGAAAAAAATCATGAACTTGGTGACATGCTTAGGATAGTGTAAGTTATGTCAAAAGACTTGAAGTATTATTCTTGTGGTGTAGCCATCATAGTTTATGAATCTTGATAGTACTTTCAGTTTTCATGTGTAACTCTGGGCTATATGTCATATGATGCTACTTCATCATTTGCTGCTTTCATTGTCACAGTTTCTCATTGTTGCATGTGGATTCTAATTTCTGAAATGTTTTTATGCTTTCACATTAGGATTTCTTGCTTGTGTGTGGAATTTATACTTGTATGGCTTAATTTTTGTTTTATCATTTCATGTTTTGGATTGTTCTCCCTAATCATATTTTTTATGATTATTATTATGATGCAGCAAATCTCGAAGTTAAGATATGAATTATGTCCACGAGTGATGAAAGAAAGGAGATTCTGGAGGATTTATTTCACGCTTGTGAGCACTCATGTTGCGCCGTAAGTGTCATACTTGTGTTGAGCACTGTTCTGCTTTTAAGTTAGTCAAATATGTAAAAGATATCGACTTTGGACGCATTATTGTCGGAGCCTATATATATATATGACAGTTAGGTTGGCTTTAGTGTCAATAAGCTGCTTATTTTTTTATGCTTTAGATGGAAATAGAAATTTTATACACAAAAACAGCAGAAGATGGATGTTGTAATGGTTAAGTGTGTTGGCATACTGCACTTTGTGGATACAAGTTATTCTGTCTCTAAAGAGGAGTGCTTCTTATTACAGTCTTATACACATACTCTCTCTCTCTCTCTCTCTCTCTCTCGATTGTCAACAAACCTCAGGTATGAGAAGCAGTACATGGAGGAGATTAAGCGCAAAGCAGAAGAGCAGATAAAAGATGACAAATTGAAACAAAGTGCAACATCTGGGGATAATTCTACATCTGAGGTGATAGAAAAGAACCTGAAAAGCAGGACATCAACTGCATCATCAGCTGAGCAGGACTTGGACTCTTTTCTTTTGGGAGATCTTGAAGACAGTGATGGAGGTCCAGGTATATTCTTTGAAAATGTTGTGGGTATATAAATACCAGTTGAATGCAATGCCAAATACTAGTGATATATTTCCTTATCCCCCAATGAACTGAGCATATTTCCTGCCACCGTCCATGTTGCATCATGCTGCTTATATTCTGCAAAATAAATGGAAGTTCAAATGTTTTTTCTTTTTTGTCAGATGATGCGGATGGCGATGGTAGCTTTGATGATGATTTTGACAAAATTGGCAATTCGGTAAGTTAATCTTGTCCATTGATTTCTGTTTGATACTCCTCATTTCACTAAATTATCTAGCAACAATTTTTTTTACTCAGTGAGGCCACTTTGCAAGTTATGCTGAGGTTTTGCCTCGATGGTTGTTTTAAGAAAAGGATATGCTAGTCTGCAACATTTGATTCAAATTTTATAATAATATTTCCAGTTAGTGATTTATTTGAAATTTTGTGGTCATACTCAGGATATTGAAGATGAGAAAAATCTGAAGAAAGCAACTGCTGCTACTAGTTAGATTCATAAGAGATTATCAAGTGAAGATAAGAAACTAGCTTTTGAAAAGGATGGGGAAGGGAACTATGAAAGAGAAGGCAAGCAATGCTCTACCTTCAAAATTTTATAAATGGTGGTTCATGAAACCACTAGTTTGGTACCCTGCAGCAAATATTGGTTATGGTAGAGATATATGTTGCACAGTTTGTATTAGATGTTATTTGCTTTGTTTCATTACTATAAAATGTTCTGGTACTGATAGGATCGAAGTTCGTTTCTGTTTATTTAGAGGTTGAAACCTTTGATTGATGCTGTGTACAGATTTCTTGATTCAGCTATTCAAAATTTTCAGTTTAATATTCTAAGAATATGAAAGCCTCAAATTGACTATCTATCTAAGTGGAAGATGATTGTAGGCAAGTTAGGCTTTGGTTGTTTTCGTAAAATAATTCAACGGAAAATATTTTTCACAATTTTCCATTGTTTGGGGGCATTTAGAAAAATAAGTCAACGGAAAATATTTTTCTGGTTAAAGGAAAATTAAGTTATTTTCAAGGAAAATGACTTTCCATTTTGAAGAGTGTAAAACATTTTCATATTTTGATAAATTTATTATAACCTTATAATTTCATATTTTGTTAATTTATTAATCATGGTGGTCATTAGCGACTTTCATAATTCACTTTTTTTTTTATTATTTTCATATTTAACAATAGAATTTTTAAAATATAAAATTTATATTATTAATATTTTATTTTATAATCTTACGAGTTAATAATTTTAATATTTTTAATTAATTATCAAATTACAATCAAACAATAAAAAATAAATTATTTTTTAAATGTAAGTTATTTTTCGGAAACAGGCCTTGAGAAATGAATCTTGGTATAGCTGTTGCTGACGGATAGCCGCTGTTGAGCGCAGTGCGTCTTCATTAGTTATATGATTACATCTGCAAACATGGATTCTTTGTTGCTATGTTTTGAATAGAAAACCTGTTGAGATGACCTAAATACATCCATAATACAAAATTATAATTATTAATACTAATAATATCAGCTGCTGCTAAGCTCCTCATATGGTCAACCAAAAATTCCTCACACTTGTGGAGAAAATAAAATTTAAAATTTTTTTAAAATAATAATAAAAGACAACTTAAAAAGACTCAAAAAAGTCGATCTATTCGAAGCAATACAAATTGAGCACAAAAAGTTATAGGTAGCAGCATCCACGACCTGTCGTTGGATGGCCGCATGATAATGCCAATGTTCCTCACAGAATCTAGTTGCCCAATTACGTTTACGTTAGTGCAGTCTTTTTAATTTGTTCCTCTACTCCACGACTAGTCGTTGGACGACCGGGTGACTTATAGTTATAGGCTTATAGCTCGCAAAACCCGGTTCGCACCTTTCGAATGCAATGCAAGAGTTTGTTTTGTTTTTTTGAACGATCTTGACACTACAAAATATAAAAGAAACTGAGTTGTGCTCGCTGTTCGTCGATGGATGACAGTCTCCTAATTCCATGGCGCTTTCCACTGTATTAACCTCCAAACCCTCATTCAAAACCTCCATTGTTTCCCTCGCTTTTCACATAATTCCCATTATACCTTCTTCTTCTTTCTCTTCTAGCTGTAAACGATGCCGAGCCACCCCTTTCTTCTCTCTATCTTCAGAAACTCCTCCATTGGCAAAGAAAGTCCCTTTTTCAGTCTCTGCTCATGGAAAAACGTGGCAGGACCCGTACCATTGGATGCGAAACACCAGTGACCCTGATTTTGTTAACTATCTCAACCAAGAAAACTCTTATGCTCAAGCTTTCATGGCCGACACTCAAAATCTGCAACAAACACTGGTTAACGAGATGAGAAGTAGATTGCCCACTAAAATTTCCACTCCTCCTGAGCGTTGGGGTCCCTGGTTTGTCCATTTTGCAACAATCCTTTTCTTGGTTTGGTTAAAGTCTGCACCTTTATTTGTTGGATTTGCCATTTGTTAATTTATCAGTCTTGATAGTTTGAATTGAAACTGATATAGTATTGTGCATAGTGATGTAGTTTCGTTAGTGAACATGGGAATCAAGTGTCGGGCTGTAAATTTATTTGCTTTTGATTTTGATCGAGTGGAAACCGTGATTAGAATTAGTGAGTGAGATTCTATTTACTCTTAAGCAGGTTATACTACCAGTATATTCCTGAAGGGAAAGAATACCCAGTTCTATGCAGGAAATTAGAGAACGGGGAAATTGGTTGGGTAAAGACAATTCTCAGTTATGCAAGTGGACAGTTTGGAATGGAGCAAATTTTGCTTGATTGGAACCAAATTGCAGAACAATTTGGTAAGCTTCTTTCTTATCCCTTCATATTCATTTTAGATGGTTTTTCTTGTCTTTTTGCTTTTTTAAGTTTCCTTTTACCAAGTTCTTCCTTCCTTGGGCAATACTTGGTGGTCCTGGTTGTTTTGCCATTGTTATATTACTTTTTTTTTTTTGGGATACGCTTAGAAAATGTCATTAGAATAATTAGAACATTGAGATAGAAAGGGTTCTAAATACTAGGAACTGAAGGTTCAAACAACCAAAACTGAGTGTAAAAGTTGTGGGCCCAAAGCGAAAAAGACAAAACTTGATTTGGATTAGCAAAAGCATACCAGACTGCACAACAACAACAACATCTAAACCATCAACCAAGAAAACACACCAACTCAGGATGTGGCTAGAGAATGGCAGCAAACAAAACAAAGGCGCAGCAGCTATAAATGAAAATACTGGCAGCACAAGACAATCTAGACGAGGAACAACAGAGCCAAGTCCTCTTTGATGATACAAACATAGAAGACCTCTTGACAAAACAGAAAATCCATGATTTTGATCATCCTTCCTAATGACATTCAAGTGAAATATCTATATCACCAGTGAAAGATACATATTAGAGTTAAACACACATTTCCCTTCTTTTTTTTCTTTTTTTTTTTTAAACTTTTTGATGAATTGAATGTTTCACATTGCATTAGATTAATTTTTGCACAAAGGAGCTAGTATTATTAACTTTGTCACTGATTATTGCATGTATACGTAAAAAATTGCAGGTTATGTGCATGTGGGTACATGCCGAGTTTCACCAGACCACAACTTTCTTGCATACACACTTGATATTACTGGGAATGAACAGTTCATGCTTCAAATTAAAGACCTCAGAAATGGATTTATAGTTCCAAAATCAGAGATTAATGGGGTTGTTAGTTTGGCTTGGGCTCAAGATGGAAGGACTTTGTTCTATACTATGGCGGATGAGAATCAAAGACCTTACAGGTAAATTCTTTAGCTAATTTATTGAGCCTTTTCCTTGTGGATCAGAACATTATCTCACCTATCTCATGTTTGATAGGGTTCTCTGCACAAACCTAGGAACTGATAATATAGATGATGTCACAGTATTTACAGAAAGTGATTTGAGCTTTTGTGTGGATATAACAAGCACAAAAGATGGCAAGTTCATAACTGTTAACTCAAACTCAAGAACGTCATCCGAGGAAGGAATTTACTTATTTCAATTTAGACTTTTTTCAATAGTATGTCTTGATCCCATTATTTCATCCTTTGGTGAGGTTTGTCTCCTATTGTTTCTTCACAGGTTTATGTGATAGATGCAATCAATCCACTTGAAGGTTTGCAAAGAGTACACAAGCGTGTTTCTGGTGTACAGTATTTTTTGGAACATCACTCTGGTTTGTTTTATGTTCTCACAAATGCTCCTTTAAGTGGATGGTCAGGTGGAAATTATTACTTGGCTACATGCCAAATTGAACATATACAGTCATCCAAATGGCAGGTCTGGTGCTTCAATAATATCCACTGTCGACTAGATCCATTTTTATCATCATTTTTTGTTTCCTTATCTTTCACATTGTTTTGTTCTCTTGCAGAATATCATACTTCCAAGTGAAGATATGAACTTTCAGGATATGGACATTTTTAGTGGCCATTTGGTGCTTTTTCTCCAGAAGAAAGGTTTCCCCATGCTATGTTCCATCAATTTGCCTGTCAAGATTGATTGTGAGGTATTGAAGTTTCAGCTCTATCAAATTCAATTTTTAAAAGTAGAATTCTCAGATACTACAAAATTGTTACCAGTGTTTCCTTTAATTTTGCATTTAGCATCTCATGATTTAAAAGATTATTTTATTTAATCTCCCCCATTGTATGATAAAATAAAAATGATAATTTTCACATAAATGATGAGATATTTAATCAACAAGTATTTTATCAATGTCCTGTTTTTTTTTTTTTTTTCAGTGGATGTGTCACAGTTAATTTCTCCTTTTTTTTTTTTATTTATCACAATTTATTGTGCTTAGGCACATATAGCAGTATACCTTTTAGTAAAATAAGAGGTAATAAGGCAAAAGGGTGTCGAGATGTTGTTATGCCAAATCAGAAATATTAAGATTAATATTTCAGTGGAGGAGTTAACATGTCTGAGAATGATCTTTTCAACAGTTTTGCTGCTGTTCCATAGGAAATAATCAAAGTTGTGCAAATAGAATTCGTATCTTATGGTATCCTACATATGCTTGCTCCTTTTGGCTTGTTCAAATGACATAAATTCTAAACACACTCTTCCCAGAAAAGAGCTTATGCTACTTTTTAGCTTTTACATTAGAAAATGCAGCCGTTAATTTTTCGTTTGTCCTGAGTTGTTTTGCAGAGGAAAATGGAGGTTGATGATCTTGATCCATGGTTTTTCCCTCTGCCTTCAAATATATGCAGCATTGTTCCGGGATCGAACCATGACTTCAGTAACCCAATGTACCGTGTGGTTTTGTCATCTCCAGTGGTATAACTTCCACTAGCATCAGTATCAGTTTATATTGTGATGCTTTTCAGATATCACCTCTTCCTCTTCCTTCCCCTCCCTCTCTCTCTCTCTCTCTCTCTCTCTCTCTCATTAATATGCATTTTATGTTTTGTTGAATATTCATCCAAAAACTAGTGGAAACTCCTCACCTATGCCATTTAAGGCCTTTAGTTAACATGCATTCCAGAAAAAATTTCCATGTTGTTTTTACTTGGAAATTGTGTCTGGACTGTTAACTAATAGCATATGCTTTTGTTTTTACTTATTTGTATAAGATATCGTTCCTCCTGTGAATGCAGAAAGAAAATTTTCTTCTTTTCTTAATAAAAAATTGTATTCAGGTTCTGTTATTTTTGTTTTTCTAGACTATTTTGTATACATGCGCTGTATTTACATAGCCAGCATTATTTGTCTGTTTGCTTTTCAAACTAATTTTGTATCAACTTTATTTGAATGGAGGAATGAAGATAAATCTTTTAGTCTTTTGCAATCAATAGCTACTGTGAAATGAAGGGATAATGAAAAATAAAGAAGATTGCAAATAAGAAACTGACATGGAGATGCAAATTTTTAATTATATCCCATTTCAGCAACAAAAGTATTGCCACATTCTAAATAGACTTCAAACCCTAGTTGCAGAAGCCAAAAAGACTAAAATACCTTATCTTGCTTGCAGCAGTAGCATTACCAAACACTTATAGTCACCTGGAAATCTACTGCAACCTGTATGCTAAGTTATTAACTGAAAAAAAATGCAGGCCAGAGTGATTTAAAGAAAGAGAGAAAGAGCCTTCTACTATCCCAGTCATTCATTCATTTCCGCAGTCACTTCATCCCTCCCCAGAGGAAAGCAGAAGCTCCAGGATGAGTATGTCCTGGATTCCTGGATTCATTCTCGTCCTGATCCACCATGGAATTTTCGGAATCTACAAAAACATTCTAGGAGAGGGCTCGTAATGATCTTCTCAAACTCAAAGATCAAAAGGAGAGGGCTCGTAATGATCTTCTCAAACTCAAAGATCAAAAGGTGCTGAAGTGGCAGGGTAGGACAAGAACTGTGGATTTTCATAGTAGACTTGAACAGCCTAATAACTACCAAGGTTTTTCTTTGTAAATCAGAAAGGCCTATTGATGATGTAAAATCAATTAGTATAGGCTTGGATTTCCAAAGGGGATAAGTCTTCTCTAACTATAATATGGCTGCTACATCACTCTAATAAACCTGGCAGGTTCTCAAGTTGTGTGGGAAATGCCCAAGCAATGCATTAAACTTCCTTTAATCTGAACAGAGCAAATATTGGATACAAAGGATTCATATAGCCTATCCCAATCAGTTAGTGACTAAGGCTTAGTTGTTTTTGTTGTTGTGATGCTTCAAACTTCCTTTAGTGAGATGGAATAGAATTCCCCCCTTTCTCTTATTTGTGTTGCCTAAGCAACGCTTAGTTTCAAATAATTTATTAGATGTCAATTGCTTTGTGGAAATTTCATTATATAGTTTGTATTAAGTTTCTCAGCATACAATTTTCACCTGCTATAACTAAGACACTGCAATCATATGTGGTGAACCTATCTAATTCTGTTCCCTTTGAATGTGCAGATGCCTGATCTGATTGTCGACTATGACATGTCAAAACGGACATTCTCGATTGTGCTGCAAGAGGAAGTAAGAGGAATATCTGATGATCATGGAAACTGCTTACCGATCCATAAGCTACATACTCCTGAATGTCCTGGTACACAAAATTGTATGGAAAAAAATGACCAGAATATTGAATTAATGAGATGGAAAGATTTTTCTGATGCATACTTCTGTGAAAGAAGGGAAGTCATTTCCCATGATGGTGTCAGGGTTCCCCTGACCATCTTGTACTCTCAAAAAGCCTGGCAGAAGAGTCTCTCTCCTGGACTTTTACAAGGATATGGAGCATACGGGGAAGTTCTGGATAAAAGCTGGTGTCCAGATCGTCTGAGTTTGCTTGATCGTGGTTGGGTGATGGCCTTTGCTGATGTGAGGTTTGTTCCATGATTCCATTCTTTCTTATGGAGTTCTGGAACACGGTGCTTTTCTCAAAGTGGAAATCAATAATAGTTTTTGCATAGTCCTTTTTCTGTTTTGAAATAATCAGGGATTATCTTAAATTAGTGTTAAGTGTGAACTTTGATGTGTTCCAGTGGTGTTCGCTTGATAGTCTTTGTTCTAGGAGCTTGTTATTTTCATAACCTAGTTGAGTTTGTATCTTTACCATTCAATTGAGTTTGATTCTATAAGAGTCATCTGATGGCTATCTCATACTGTTAAAATAAAATTAATGTTGCAGCTTTTTTTTTTTTTTTTTCTTTTGCACATTCTAAAATTTGTCATCTTTTGCCTGGGCAGGGGTGGCAGTGGTGAGCATTCTTCATGGCATAAGTCTGGCAGTGGGTTGAACAAACTTAATTCCATCTATGATTTTATTTCGTGTGGAAATTACCTCATTAATGAGGGCTATGTTCACAGAGATCGGCTAGGTGCTATTGGATTTAGTGCTGGGGGTCTTCTTGTTGGGTCAGCTATCAATATGAACCCAAAACTATTTCGCGCAGCCATCTTGAAGGTTAGCCATCAAGAAATATATTCTCTGATGAAGAAATGAGGTTTAGCTTAGTAATTTTTTTTATGCTTTACTGATGGCTTCATATTTTCTCTAATATCATTGGAGAGAGAGAGAGAGAGAGAGAGAGAGAGAAACAGAGCATGGCTTGAAATTTTGTATATATTACTTCTAAATTGGCACTGATGATTGTTAAAATTTATATCAGGTCCCATTTCTTGACATATGCAACACATTGTTGGATCCAAGTTTGCCTCTCACCACATTGGACTATGAAGAATTTGGGAATCCTCAGATACAGTCCCAGTTTGAATACATTCTAAGTTATTCTCCTTATGAAAACATTCCTTACAACGGTTGCCTACCATCAATGCTTGTCACAGCCTCATTACTTGATTCAAGGCAAATTCACATCTTCTGCTGTCCAAAATCACTGATTATCTGCAAGCATCGTTCCATGTTTTGTCTTGTATCCATTAACTTAATACTTTTGGCTTTTAATGCTCATTCTCAGGGTTGGAGTTTGGGAAGCTGCAAAATGGGTGGCCAAACTACGAGATATTACATGTTGTAATTGTTCTAGCTCAGTCATTCTAAAGACAAATATGGCTGGAGGACATTTTGGCGAAGGTGGTTACTACAGTCAATGTGAAGAAACAGCATATGATTATGCCTTTCTGATGAAAATTATAGGCAACTTGGATGACAAAAAGTCAGCTGGTTGCTTCTTGGCCACGCCCCCCTGCTTATAGACACGAGATACTTGATCTAAATTCTCAAATAGGAAATTTCATACCATTAGCCTATATACGTATAGGAACATGAGTACATGATATTGAATGTCACCCAGGCGAAGTGTTACAGTGCTGTCATTATCCCCTACCTATGCTTTTTTTTTTTTTTTAGGTAGCTTGTAGGTTAATTTTGTTGGTTTCCTATTTCTTTTGTGTTTTCTTTCAGTTTCTCTTTGGCCAAACTATAAGTTAGGTCTACAATTTCCAACAAATTTCTTTCAATTTGTATTTCTTTGGACATCACCATAATAGTTCAACCCTTTGTGCTCATTATTAATTGAAGCCAATTATCATTATGTTATGCATTATCAGCTTATATTCTACTTAAATTAATAAAATAATCAATTAGTCATTCTCCTTTCTCAAAATTAAAAAAAGAAAAATTTCCATCTGTGTTCAAGTTCCTGTTCACCATAAACACAAAAGCAGCACATTACTGCATTTCACAAAATCTGAAGCTAGACTGGCCAACAATGGGCTGCCTGAAGAGCTTCAAAAGCTACGCCGTCTTGTAAACTATTAAGCCCAGAACTTTGATGGAAGACATGGCCAAGAAGATTAAGGAAACTTTACTGCCACAAGTAGAGCTTATGCCATTCCAAAACCATTCAAATCAGATGGCAGCATTGGTTTATTTTGTAGCAGTAGAAAGTGACACTTTTTATACCAACTTATGACCTAAGGAAGAAAATTATTTCTATGTCTACACAAATCCACAGGAATGTTTGCCACCTTTTGATGAATCATGAACATTTTTTGCGTACAGCACAAAGTAACCTGCAAATTTGGGATATTCCCCACAAATGCATGTGATAAGCATACATATTTTATTTGTTTATTGTTTCAAAAATGGAGAAGTTTATTGTTTGTTGATCAGACCAATATGGCGGAATTTTATAGAGAAAAATCCACATGCTATGTTAGATATTTCTATGATACATAGATAAACGCAATCAATATGCTACAAGGATAACCCCCCAAAATTCTCCATCCATTTATATATATATATATTAGATCAATATGTATAATACAAGGATGATACAGGCAATGGCATTTCCCCATCAGAGATCTGGAGGAAACCCCATAGAGAACACAACGTCTACGGCAAAAGCTCTAAACTTGAATCTCAAGGAATACTGTTAAGAGTTCAAGAAACCAAAACATAGATAGCATTTACACCAAAGTAAAGAAGAAAAAAGAAAAGGAAATAGCAGATGAAAGAAGAGAGAGAAACAGATTAAATAGGAAGACACAAAAATCCATACTACTATCATGTCTTCAGCCGCTTTTGAGCCTGATCAAAGTGCTCTCCACTGCTCATATCCCTAAGACGCATTGCTGCTTGATTGCTAGATCGGGGGTCCTGGAAAGCAAAAGTGAAATGTTCAACTTTATAATAGCTTTCTAATGACAACCTTTTTGGTTTACCATCTTATTTACCAGCTTTATACCTTAGCAGTTGATGTTCCAGATGTCAGCCCTCTATTTGCCCTCTTTCCAAGATCAATCTGTACGGAGATATTGGCTTGTGATAAATCAACACCAGCGCTGTGCAATGCTTGTGTAAGACTGTTGAACAACCTGCTTTTTACAAAATGTCATATTTGTTAGCATATAATTTAGCAGTCAAACATGAATGAAGGCTTCCAAAATAATTCGATCAATCAAGGCAAGGTTATGAGCTGACTTGTATTGCATAGTGTAATACAGCACAGATGCATGAACCCTTCAATAATTACAAACAGATGTCCTAAAACAGCATATAATTTCTAATTCTCAGTTTCATATGGCTTAAATACCAGTCTTAGGAAGTGAAAAATAAAACAGTTTATTGTGACCATAAAGTTCCTTTACACTAAAGACACTGCAGATAAGAATGAAGGTAAAGATACTTGATAGTGGAAATCCATCATAAAACAGAATTTATGGTCTGAACATTGCCTAATGACACGTAAAAGAAAAAGATTGCACCCACCCTTGAGAGTACACGCTTGAAATGCTGATAGTCCCCCCTTCAATCGGCACCTTCTCCTGCTGGTTAGGTGCATCACCAGACACAGGAAAGTCAGCCAAATGAACACCAGAGACTGATTGCTGAAGAGGATTTGCAACAACACCATCACTTTGAACAGGAGTAGGCATGGTCGTCTGCAAGGACATGGGCAGAGGCATAACCTTGTTTGCTAATTCAGGTTGCCGTTCCATTCCTTTGGAAGCAATATCCCTGCTAGTGTCTGGTTCTACTAGATTCTGTGTACTTGTAAGCATGCTAGGGCTGATGGCAATGTTATTTTCATCAAATTTTCCTGGAAATGTTAACCCTGGACCAGAACCATTTTTTACTGTTTGTGGGTGACCCATGAAACTTTGAACACGCCAGTGACTATTTCTCTGTTTGAAAAGGGAAACTAGTGAGTTAATTATGAAGTTTCTAAATAGAATTCAAGTACTTTGATCAAATACATTTCCAACTTCTCTTCACCACCACCAGCTTCAATTAAAAGGAATTAAGGAAATTCCCCACAAGTACAGAGAAAAACCAATGAACACAAAAACTAAAATGTAATCACTTTAAAGAAGATCCAAAGCAAGAGCCTACGGATGGCCTGAATACAGTGAAGCAAAAGCAAAGCCCATCACAAGCAATTGTGGTTAACTCAATCTGACATATCTGGAGATAAATGTCAGTAGGAGTCATGGGAATCATGGGTTGAACTGCTATGTCCTTCCCCAAAAGAAATAGGAGTGCAAGACATCAAAATGATAAGTTGAAATCTTGACACTAAATCCAAACTCCAAATTGCCAAGTTCCTTCAACATGGTTCTCTGAAGTGCCCAAGCATACTATACTTGTTCATCTATAATGTGATGCAGGAGCAATCCTAGTCCTAATTGGATTCCTAGCACAACTAGGATTTTATTTAATTTACTGTTTTATTTCAGATTTGCATTAGTTTTTCATGGGAATCATGGGTTGAAACTGCTATGTCCTTCCCCAAAAGAAATAGGAGTGCAAGACATCAAAATTGATAAAGTTGAAATCATTAGACAACTACCAATTCCAAACTTCAAAATTTGCCAAGTTCCTTCAAACATGGTCTCTGAAGTGCCCAAGAACTATACTTGTTCATCTATTATTGTGATTGCAGGAAGCAATCCTCCAGTCCTAATTGGATCCTTAGCACAACTAGGATTTTATTTAATTTACTGTTTTATTTTCAGATTTGCCATTAGTTTTCCCGTTCCTTACTTTTTGATTAGGATCTACTTATTTATCACCCTTGAATGGAGTTAGAATAATCTTTCTTAATTAGGATTCCCTAGTCTAGTTACGGATTTATCACCTAAATAAATAGACAGCACTAGTAATATTGGTAAAGCTCATCTTATTTTCCTCATAATTTTAATTTCAAGGTTATAAACTAATTACTGATTACGTTCCATTTATCACTATAAATAGACAGCACTAGTAATATTGTAACTCATCTTATTTTTCCTCATAATTTTAATTCAAAGGTTATAAACCTAATTACTGATTACTGTTCCACCTGTAATCAACCCTATTTTAGCCTACTCGTTGAAAACTGACAGCCCTACGTCTTCCCTTGCGTCATAATGGCTCTTGGGGTAATGTCAGTAGGCTTAACAAACACATACCATGTTAAAGGGGTTACCAACGGCATCAAACTTGCCCTTTCCAATTTCTTACAACAATTGCTATTCCAGTAAATTCATCAGAAGAATTTGCTCAACTGTTTGTGAGCCATAGTTTGCTGATGCACATATTCATAGGGCAAACCAAATACACAACAGAACACATAATTTTCCAATTGCTTGAATGTATTAATTGGCTTGTTTCAGTGGATTATGAAGGTTTCTATTATAATGCTTAATTGTCATCTAGATTATTTATTCCTTGAATTAGGACTTTAAAACTTCAAAGAACATAAAACCCATTCAGAAAAATCAAACTGCACTCGTTTATACTAAATCAAGCATCATAGTAACCAACATGTTCAGCATGTGAAAACCCTTCATAATTCCATCAACATTTGATAATTTCTTTCAATTCATAAACCAATTCTACCTCCAGGATGAAGCAGAATGTATAGAAGTGTAAACCCACGCATACAAATGAAACTTAATCCACACAAAATCAATTGGATGAGATTCATGAGGAGGCAACATCAATGATCAAGCATTAAAAAATTTACCCATGGCATTAACTTAGTCGGCTCAGAAGTCCAACCCTGGTACGAACCCTCATATTTTTGCACCTTTTCCTGTAAGTACTGCACATATTCAATCACCTACAGATGCAACAATAATATTTAGTCAACAAACTAAAACCACACAGTATAAAAACTGAATTTACATTTGGATGCTACAGCTGATTCCCACATTTATAACATACCTCCAATAGAAATGATGCTGTATCTCTCTTTTGATCACTATGAGGTATAAGATCTCTCAATATCTGAAATCTGAAAGAAATATATTATAATACATAAAGCTATACGATTTTATTATTCACAAAATTTACAAACAGTGGCTGATATTTCAACAGTTTCTAAATCTATCCTTGATCTCTTAAACTTAAAATGTGATAGAAATTGACTTGTAACTGTTGGTATATCCGTGCCCATGATAACGTACACGATTTAAATGTGAAAAGAAAAGGCACATAAGCACAGAGATTTCAACTTTAAAAAGTGTGAATGCAGAATTTTAAGCAATATTATAATTTCTCTTATGCAGGTGCACAGAAGTGTGTCCATATATACTGACCTACAGTAGAGACAGATGCTGATCAAATTATATAACAAAAGTAAATTAATGACTCATAAGAATTTGTCCAACATATGATGAGCATTGGAATTATAATGAACCTATTATTAGCTAATCAAGAACATTTTTTGTGTAAATATTGTGTTGCAGCAAAATTATGTTGAAAAACCATCAATAATGGGAAAAGAGAAAGATGCGAAAAATATCAAGATTAGGAAAAGAGAATAATTTTAGATGTCCATGCATTTTTTTTTCAATCCCAGAAAACCAGGCCCACTTATACTTGAAAATAAAAATGAAAGTGTTATGGGTCAATACAATTGAAGTTACTCAACTCAATTCCACTAATTCTTAATCCCAAATATTTGGGATGGTCTATGTATATTGGAAGTATAGTGCATCCATCTGAAACATGCAACCCATAACAGCACAACCAGGGAACACAATGCATTGACATAATGCCCCAAAATCCACAAATGATTAAACTATAATTAAGCAAAAGTGACAGTAATAGTTACTTATTTTCTGGCAGTAGTTTCTGGCTTCCTAACTGTCTAGTCTACGCCCTCTAACAAAGTCAAATTATATTGCAATGAGACCCATAAACTCAAACTGCAGCTGCAGTAACGATAGACACAGAATAATTCTTTACCGAAAGACATTGAAAATAAATGGCACAAACAGTAAAATGCTAAAATCTACATATTAATTTATTATAGCACCAAAATGACTGCCAACTTTGAAGATAGTAACAAACCTCTCATTGATCTTGCTCCTCCTCCGCTGCTCAGTAACTGAATGTTTTGATCTCATTGCATTAGCCTTATCACTATTCTTCCCATCTGGTCTCCAGATACAAATCTCACATCAAGAAAAATTCAATTAAACAGATAAAATTTTAAAAGAGAGAGAGAGAGAGAGAGAAAAGAATCAATACCCACCTGAAAAAAAAGACACTATTTCAACACTCCAAAACATAAAAGTTCCAAAATTTACCACATGCCAACAATTAAACAGCGAAAAGGTAATACCTCTACACTTTCAAGAAATGAGAAACTTAAAACCATGTTCAAAATTAGTAAAAGAAAACAAATTTCTATCAACCTTAAAGAAAATGAATCCAACAGAGCTGGATCTAATATAAATAAGCATACCTTTGTTACTGTTAGTATTATTGTTGTTGTTGTTATTAGCAAGAGTCGAAGAAGGTCCATCTTTTCTGGAACCAAATTCCTCCTCCTCATACTCATCTTCGTCCTGATTTTGATTTCCTTTTCCTCTCATTACTATGGTTCTATCTTGAAAGGAAAAAAAGTATCCCAAATTCAAATTCGCACAAGAAAATAAACTTTGCTTAATAACAGATTGACTAGAAAAAAAAAAAAAAAAAAAAAAAATTTCATGCCACAAGAAAATAAACTTTTGCTGTTAATAACAGATTGACTAGAAAAAAAAAAAAAAACAAAAAAAAAAAAAAAAAAAAAAAAAAAAAAAAAAAAAAGGAAAATAGTAGAGACAGAGAAAGACACCTTGAGTAATTCAGATTCTTGGAAGTTGGGTAGTGGCGGCGGAGGTCTCTTTCTCGTCTTTTGGTTTCTTGTTTTTCCGGTGAGCAACGCCGTGATTGGGCTGATACTCCGGCTGCTTCAATGGCTTTGTTTGTTCGTGAGTGAGGAACCAAGGCAGCTTTCTTTTTCCATTTTTTTTTTTTTTAGGAATTGGAGTAGAGGATCACATGTGGCTAAGCTCATGCTTTTTCCGTGAGCTTGACCCTTTTTTTACAATTTTTTTTCGAATTTTACTTTTTTTTATATAATAGCCTGTTTCTTTTTAATATCGAACAAAGAGAATATAAAAATTATTATATTTTTTTTATTTGAGATAAGACCCAAATTTTCAAATTAATTAATAATACTAATTAAAATAATTAATGTTACCTTTATTGAAATGCAAATTATTATTCACTCTATACCGTACATTAGTTAAGTTTATTGTCGAATAATATCGTGTCCTATAAAAACAAGATAACACTACTCTAAACACATTAAATTTTATAATTAAGAGTACTCAAACATTTTTTATTAACTTATAAAGTTAATAAAATTTTTTATGATCCACAAGATTTAAATATGACCTCACACTCTTTATATTTTTTATTAAAAAAATGAAAAGCCTATATTTTTATTTTACAAAAATACTATCTTAAAATAACTTTATAAATGTTATTTTGAGTTTTTTTTTTTTTACCTCCATGTATTTGTTTATGAATGAATTTTTAAAAGTAAAAATTATTTTAAATGCAAATCCTTTTATGGTGACATTGGAGAACTAATTGGATTATTTCTTGCTTTTAAAGCTATTTTCATTTCATTTGAGTTTTGCTTTTCAGAAAAAGTTAGATATAATCATTTCATAATTATGACATTTTACAATTTTTAAATAGAACTTTATCTTTAATAATTTGTACAAAATTTATTAATATATTGCATATAATATATTAATATATGTAAGAAAATAACATAATGAATATTTGGCGGTTTATAAGAAAATCTTAAAATGGGTAGGGAGTGGGGCCGTGGCGTTCACGTGACGCGTAGGAAACCAACTTGTAAGAACTGTGAGCCTGTGAAAGGCAGGTGACACTCTCACGTTCTTCACGTGCCCTTTGCTCCACTCATGGCCCAGTCCGTATATTTGGGCCCAGTCCAATTCTATCATTTTTTTTTTATTTGTTTCAAATTATAATCGTATTTTTCTTCTTTTTTTTTTTTTAAATAATATTCAACTTTCTCTTCCTCTCCCATTTAATATATATTTTTAGTATCACAATTTAAAAAAAAAAATTTGAAAGAAACAACTGAAACGTGGATCTTTAATATTCTTAGATTATAAAAAAAAATTATGCAAAAATTCATAATATTACTTACAATTTTATGTTTGAAAGTCAAACTAAAATTATTTTTATAAAGCGGAAGAAATATATTAAATTAAAATCAGAAAAACTCAAATCGATTAAAATTATATATGTTTCTTTCTGCAGTATTACAATAAAGATTCCAAAATATAAATTTATAATAAAAATATACATAATTACCTTTATTTCAAGCGTGTGAAAGTTTTAATTTTTTTTTTTTTATCGGCAAAATGATATTGCTGACTACGGAGTTCGAACCATACGTTTATGTGCAGAAGATCTTAAGTCTTCCCCCTTGACCTCTCGGGCAAACCAGCTTCTTTACTTTTATTAATGCACGTTTTTAAATATTTTTAATATAAGATAAAAGTTTTTAAAAATAATTAATGTTTTCTTAATTTTATAAAGCGACAGATAAATTGAAAAATAAAAAAATAAAAAAGAGTGAAAATTTTAACGTAACAAGGGAGTATATGGATTAAAAAGTAGATAAGGTCTAATATTCCAATCCAAAGGGTGGCATGGCATGGGATTTTGGACGATAATGATGAAGAATGCCAAGTGTTTAACATACTCAGAAGCAACAAAACCTCGTATTTATCAGTACACTCAACAGTCAGACATTTCATGCATGCTTACCTCCATCTCTCCGAGCATTCCAACATTGTGCGCTTCCCAAGTTTTGTTACTCCAGAAATAATTAAATTGGCTGAAAATCCTTCTACAATATGCCTCTTGCTCTTCTTCTACAACAACTATTTAGGTTTTGCACAGTTGTTATTTTTTTAACTTCTGTCCCTTTGATTTCTTTCACCTTCGTTTCTTTTCTTTTTGTTATAATCTTACCCTTTTTTTGTTTTTTTATATTGGTCTGGTTCATCTCTAAGATTTTTTCTCTTCAAATGGAGTTTATGGCATTTCTTGGCAAGATTGCGATTGAGAAAAGCTCAAAAGGTAGTAATAATGGAAGGATTGATGAGGGGATGAAGAATGAAAAGCAGCAGTTTGTTGATCTGGATACATGGCAGATTGTTGATTTGGATTCATGGGAGCTTCCATCTTTAAACAATGAAGAAGAAGAAGGAAAAATTAAGGCTGGAATAGAAAGTTTTGTAAGCCGCTATGAAGAGGCCTCAAGGCAATATTTGGTTCCAAAATCCATTTTAAGGGAAGAAAGCAAGCCGGTATTTAAACTTTAATGATTTTAAAAAAGTTCATACAATGATTGAGTCTCACAATGATCAATTCATTTCACTCCTTTTTCTAATTAATCTAGTTTTATTCTAAAAAAAACAGTGTAATTTTCATTATTATCATTATCATTTTCATTTTTGTGGGTTTATAAACATAAATTTTGCACTGCAGCACATTCCCAATTTTAGGTTTTAAACCCTTAGATATTATAGCTGGCGATTTTAGGTTTTAAACTCTTAAATATTATAGGTAAAATTGATATGGAAATATATATATAGTTCATTACTACTGTCTAGTAATTTCATTTTTAGATGTAACATAAGTACACGAAATATCATTACCAAATGGTATATATAAACATTACTGTTGGGATTTAATTATTTAATTAATTAGTTAATTATTTGTGGTTGTCTCTGCAGTTTCATGAAGTTTTGGCCTATTGGAGAAGTAAAGAGAAAGGGGAGATAGAAGAGAAAGAAGAAGCTTTCGAGATGCATATAGACTTGTAATTTGGAAGAAGTAATTAAGGAACAATGCTAAATTTCTCCTTCTATTTGTTATGGATGTCCAATTAAATCATGACCAAATTAGGAAATGCTAATTTTAATTTGATTAATGCTTTTTTATTACACATTGTCAAATGGAAATTTGAAAAATAAAATGTGATATAATTGGTTTCATTGAAAAATCACATATTATGCAGTCGGAATTTTGTTACAATAATAAAAAATGAAAAATCACTCAAGAAAATTTTCAGTTTTTGCTCTCTTTTCTTTTGTTTAATTTATAGAAATGTCTTAGATGAAGTCCTTCCAATATATTAACAACTCTAAGAATTTGATGGAGCGGGATTTTTGCACCTTATTTGCCCTGCGATATTAAATTTTTATTCGTCTCATAATCCACTTTGGAAGATTATATATGTGCTTCCTCACTATTTCTCCAGCATCAAGACATGACAAGTCACCGATTAGATTCAGATCGCGTTTTATTGAAAAAAATAAAGAAAAATAGCACATATAGGCTTAGTTTAAGAAAAAAAAATTAAATAAAGGGTTATATGCCAGATCGAGTTTCATTTTTAAGACCCATATTCGCCTCATATTTAAATGAATCGGGTATTACCTATTCTATTCCAATCGAAGCATGGAATGTGGCTGTCAAAAATGTCATCTTTAGTTAACATTTTAATTTGGAAAAAAAAATTCATTTTGACTCCTAAATAATTTAGAAAATGCCCAAAATAAGCTTTTTAAATAAATTCTACACCTTAAGGTTTTGTTTGATAACAGCCTTTTAAGTAAGTTTTAGCGTTGGTCAAAATGCTAAAATTATTTGATAATATAGTATTTAGATTAGTTTTTAGAAATCAGGGTAACGTTTTGTGAAAAATTAATTCATGTAACGTTTAGAGTTTCATACAAAAAAAACAACTCAAATAATTAACAACTAAATCCTACTAAAACAGTTAATAGCTTCTAAAACAATTAATTTTACCCAACATGATTCTTAATTTTTGCCGGGCAATGAAAATGGGATGTGGTCAATATATATTTTTTAAAATTGTTGTGCCTATTTTATACTCTTGTAATAATGAATTAATGAAGTAGAAGTAAATATACTCCTTGAAATATAATGGCAAAATAAGCCTTCTTCTTTCTAATTTTTTCCTTAATAATTACTCAAGAAAAGAATCTCCTAAATTCTAATCCTATTTCCTAGATTTTATCGTAATTTGCTTTGTGGTCTTAGAGAATACGCTTTTATTAGTTCGTAGTATACACTGCCACTTCTATAGAAAGGACGGCTCCTTCACTTATCTCTAGTAGAAGACGAAGAATTCCCATCTTCTTCTGCCAATCTTACGTCGTCGACGACGAGAACCATCAGTTGTAGAAACAACTGGGATGTGAATGTTGGCTAAGACGAAAGCTGATGCAAACGCAGAAACTGGCCGTTCGATTGTTGTTTGAAAGAGCGGCTCTGCCTCTGCTGCGATTTGAAACGAATGCTTCGTTATTTTTTGCCAAGTAAGTACACTTGTATATTGAAATTGAAACAACTTATTTTCTTAATTTGATTATCTTATTTATAATTTTTGTTGAATTTATTATATTTGGTCGCTGAAATTTCAGGAATCTATCAAATCTAATGGCATCTACTGAACCCGTCACTCAAAAGGTAACATCTTTAGATCTTTTTGTTCTAATAAATTTCCGTGTTGCATAAATATATCAGTTAAGCTGATAAAAAATACGAAAATTTCTCTTTCTTTTTATCTTTACATGTTTTCAAATGAAGATTTGTTCTATTATTTTCTTGATACAGTAACTTGGTTCATTTAATTATCTGAGGTATTCCACTTTTCCATTTAATTTCCCAGTCATGATATGTTTAGTTTTGATTGCTAGGACGCAAAAGAAAATACTTCACATGAAGAAACAGTGATCTTTGTTTTAGGTGAGCTGAGCACATTCTCATATCTACTGTTGCTTGTGTATATAGCTGCCGTAAAGGCTAATGCTTTTTCCGTTGTTCAAGTATTTTGCTGTATATTCTGCTCAAGGTAGTATATCATTCGATCTTATAGGTTGTAGCTCCAGTTTTTTTGTTTTCTTGGATATGAGCTATGTGCTTAACCTGCAGTTAGAGGAAAAATTAAGAGAATTAAGTTTTTCCTTAGTCAATAAATATACTTAATGTTTTGTGTTTTGCATACTAAATGCTTTTAGTACAGTAATTTTATGATTTTAAGATGTAAATGCATGCGTTGAATTGCATTGGCATTACTTTCTTTATGATATGACTTGTAATTTTATAAATACCTTATCATAATGTTAATGAAACAGGCAAAGAGTTGGGTTCAAAGTTCTATTCTAAAAGATTTCTTCCTTCCTTGTTCTCTGTTTCCTTGGCTTTTTATCTGTTTAACTTGGGTATCAAAGCAATCTATATGTTATGGTATTTCTTCTTTCTAACAAATAAGAATATAATAAAAAAAAAAACAATATATGATATGAAGAATCAAAATGAGACTAAGGAAACTGGCGTGCTTTAATACAGAACTCTGTTCTTATATCTGATGGATTTGCTTATTCACTATTGTCCCTTTTATTGTGTGGGGCTGTGTTTTTGCACAAGCACAAATGTGGAATTAATGTGTAGCAGATTATTGCTTCTATAGCACATGATTTCACGATACTTTCTTTTATGAATCATTTTGTCACTGCCACTTGTTTTAATTCCACATTCCTGATTGTTACTGTGACAGGTGGTCCGGGAAGTGGAAAGGGTACCCAATGTCCCAAAATTGTTGAACACTTTGGGTTTACACATCTTTGCGCTGGAGAACTTCTGCAAGCAGAAGTTGAGTCTGGATCTGAAAATGGGTAGGTATTTTAAACTTTTTTTAACTTTATCACATTTGTTTTCAAGTAGCTAGCCCTGTACTTTACTGTCATCATTATTGTTTTTAATGTTCGTGTTATAATTACTTTGTTGGGCATAAAATATTGGTACTTTATATTTTACCGTATTGACAGTCTTAAAAAGTTTTACTTTTATTACCCTTATTGCCGCAGAGAAATGATCCAGAATTTCAAGAAAGAAGGAAAAATTGTTCCTTCTGAGGTAACTGTGAAGCTTCTGCAACAGGCAATGCAGCAAAGTGGAAAGAAGAAATTTCTCATTGATGGATTTCCGCGTAATGAAGAAAATCGAACTGCATTTGAGAATATAGTAATGCTTAAAATTTGACCATGTCAATTAGCACTTGTTTATTTTATTGGCCCTTCACAATTTTGATATTTTTAATGACTTTACTTGCGTTCTAACACATACCCTTGTATTTCTAACACATCCCCTCTTGCAGATTAAAATTGAACCAGACTTGGTGCTATTTTTTGACTGCCCTGAAGAGGTGTTGACAAAACGACTTCTAAGCAGGAATCAGGTTGGCTTGTAAACCTTCTTGTTACATGATTTTTTGCTTTTAATATATCTCTTTATGATTTTCTTTGTTTCTGTAGGGAAGAGTTGATGATAACATTGATACCATACAAAAGCGACTTAAAGTTTATTTTCAATCAACATTACCTGTAATCAACTACTACAGCTCAAAGGGTAAAGTTCAAAAGGTAAACCTAGGAGTCAGAGTCACTGATCAATCTTCTGGATTCAAAAGTAATTAGATTTACCAATGCAAACCATGATTATAATGAACAATATCATCCACATCAGTTGAGTCTCTTAGTGCATTAAAGAGTTAATTTGCAAGTCCATCCATCTTTTGTTTTCTTTCTAAAATTATTTTCTTTTGGTTTTTGTTGCCTTAGATTGATGCTCAAAAATGCATTGATGAAGTATTCGAGGATGTCAAAAGTGTCTTCTCCAAGCTTAAACCAGAAAGTGCAGCGGACTCTTTGAAAGAATGAGAATCTATAATTTGAAGTACAAAAAACTTGATTTGAAGGATTTTCATTAACTAGTGCCTGTTGAGGTTCTCTGTAGGTTAACAGTATTATTGTCTAAGTACCAGCAGTTATTGTAGGTTCTTTTGCTATTTACATATTTACCTTCCTCAACAGAGTCACAGAAGCAGCATGAAGCCCAGGATCTTTATGATTGACATAGGCTAACTGCAAAGGAAGATGCTTTATTGTACTTTATCAATGATCTTTTAATCCGGGTTTGGACAAGTGAAATTTGCATATGCTAATACAAGCTCTTTCATTTTGACAGCTAAAAAGAGTGCACCAGTTGGATCATATATAGTAAAAGCCGTTTTTTTTTAAATATAGAACATAATTGTTCTCTGATAATTGACCCACACTAGACAAACTTTAGTTTTTTGGCACAATTTGCACATTTGAGATAAATCTCATTCCTATTGGGGTTTCAACATCAACAACCACAGCTTTGTTAGACCCAGAAGAAACCCCAAATGTTGCTGCTGCTTGAGCAGTAATACACGAACCGATGAATGTATGCGCGCGCTGTATAATTGATGAAGATCATAATAACTATATGTTCATATGGTTAAGAAAATACTTTCACATATATGTTTTTAATTTTCTTTTTCAATACCATCGAGCGATATAATTTAATTACACAAAATTCATTTTGTACTGATGAGGAAGAATTTTGTACTAGTAAATGAGAATAGAAGTAATATAGTGGTAATATAAATTATGTCAACTCTCCTCCTGTGCTTTCGAGATGGGTTCCTCTCTTCGCAGGTGAAACTTAAAAGTGATTGTGAATGGTGCTTGGAGGTAGCGAAGTAGCGTTGGTAGCGTTGAAATTATCGTTACAGATGATCATGGATGCCTGCAATGAGACGGTTATTACTTCTTTCGTTCTACTTTAATAACAATAAATAAATATTTAATTTTGTTCCTTTTGAGTTTTCATTTAGGATTTTGAAAGCATATTAATTTTTTTTTTTTAATTTTGTCCATTATTTATTAGGTGTTTTGTAGTATAATTAGATGGAGAGTTTTTAATTTTAAGATGGGTTATTTAGACATTACACCATGTATTTTTAGAAAATCAATATGTTTTAATTATTTTCTAAATTATGTTACTATTAAAGTGGAAGGGAAAAAGTGACGTTTTTTTCTTAACTTGTCTATCTTCTCTTGATTTCAATTTTCACGTCTTTTTTTTTTTTAAATTACAATTACAAAGAAGTCCTACCTAACCATCACATTACTTTCATTGGACATTGTAAATGGAAACATCATGAATGGTATGCAATCTTGGAAGCATGTTGGACAGTTGAAGATTGGACAAATAAATTACTTGATGATATAAATTAATTATTTATTAGTTTATATTTAAAGGTTTGAGTAAACAAACTTTTTCTACATATATTTGAATATGAGGTCAAATTGGCAATTTCTAATCAAGTCAGGACATTTGGACGAGTTGTTTTTTATAATCAACTTAAATATTTTAAATAATACCAATTTAATTGGTCACCTATAAAGTTAATTAGAATTAATGACGGAAATGTTTGGCCTGTGATGATGTTTAGAACAACCACTGTTATTAATACAGAAGCCTGATTCTCATATAGAATGAATGAAAACTGAAAAGGAAAATAAATAAATTTCTTTTTTTCACTTGTTTGGGAAGAAAGAAAATTTGGTAGGAAAATAAAATCTTGTATTCTACATACCATTTTCTCTCAAATTTTTATTTTTAAAATATCGGTTATTACTATTTTTTTTCCCCAATTTGACTTTTGTTTGATTTCAAGTATGTAATTAATTTTCCAATTTTCGACAACGCTTTATTGCTGAATTAAAATTTATTAATATAAAGCTCAAAAGAAAATAAAGAAAGTTATAATCTTTTTGTGCAGCGAGAGCATTCTAATTCTAAATCTTTCTCAATTAGATTTTCTTTATCCACAATACCTTATTGCTTGGGTTTGATTTTAGAGGCTATATGATATTTTTTTTTCTTCAATTATTCTTATTTTCTTTTCTTATCTCAATAAGAGACTTCAAGCTGATGTATAGTTTATCGGATTTATTCACTTAGTATTTCCGAACTAGAATGGATATAATGTTCAGCTATATTAAGTTTTTCTGGATTGTAATAGTAAAAGAAATTTTTGCTGATAAAAAAAAGACTTAAGATTGAATTTGAGGTTATCTATACCATATAATATTACATAAAAAAGTGAGAATAAGGGGGAAGAATAATGAGATTAATTATATCACCCTTGATGAAATTTAAAATGTCCAAAAATATCCTTAATGATAGTCAATTAAAAAATTACAATTTATTAGTTGATTGGATATAATTTATTTTTAAATTTATTTCTTAATAAATATATATGATAAATAAGACATTTGAAATTTTTATATTTTATTTTTCAAATTTGTTATTTCTTTGATTTCATTTTGATAATAATTTAAAGAATTTATTTAGGAGGGAGATAAGAATAGAAAAAATATATTTTTTATTAATATTTTTTTTTATGTTGGTATGATTTGATTGGATATATTTTTTAAAACTAAATTTTTAAATAAAATAAATTTTTAAATAATTTTTCGAAATGTATTCTTTGATTCATTTTTGATTAAAATAAAGAACTTATTTAGGGGACCCTATAAACAGAACCTACGCAACAAAACTATATTTTTTATTTTCAATATTTTTTTTGTGGTAATGATTTGATTGGATATGGATATTTTATTAAAACTAAATTTTTAAATTAAAATAAATTTTATAAATAATAAAAGTTTTTGAATTATTATTGGCATATTTAAATATAACTTTGAATATTGATTATGTTTTAATCTCTTTTTTCATGTGAATAATCAATTATAATATTCATTAATAAAGTGGATAAAATTGCTCAACCTGAATAAAATAATGTAATTTATTATTTTTCTTTCACTTTCTTTTCTTATCGAGAGAACGACGCTATCATAAAATATACAATAGTATTCTTAATATTCATTCTTAATTTTTTCTTCACTTTCTTTTTCTTATCGACGAGTATCTAAAATAAAAATAGTCTCTTAATAGTTTTCTTTTTTCTTATTATAGAAAATAAGATGTGATATTTTTCTTTTATAATACTCTTAGAAATAATCAAATTATAGCAATAAAGGTGAAAAAAATTTATACATAATAATATTAATAAATAATTGATCTAATAGTTTATGTGAAATTTGATATATCTTTTAATCTTCTCTTGAATATATTTATGTGAAATATATATTATTAATATTCTCTTTTATGTTGGTATAATTTGATTGGATATATTTTTTAAAAATAAATTTTCAAATAGAGTAAATTTTTAAATAAAAATTTTTGAAATTATATTCCAGATAAATATTCTGATATGTAATTTTTTTTAGTTCTTTCTATGGAAAAAATAATATAATTTCATGATAAAATGGTGTATATGAGAATATTTAATTAATTTTTATTTAATTTAATTTTTTTTCGCTTAATTCTTTTCTTTATTAGTCATTCGACTTCTATAGAAAACTTAATATTTTTATTTTTATTTAGAAAGAAATGTGATCAGCTCTTTTCTTATAATACTTTTAGAAATAATTGTGATTATGCGACCCTAACTCCAGGTTAAACAAGTCTTATACAATAACGTTAAGGAAAAATAAATAATTTAAATTATATCAAAGGAGTTTATGTCGAAATTTAAATATTTCTTTTATCTTCTCTTGAATACTATTTTATGTGAATATCATATACACACATTTAGCTAACCCTATTTATATTTCATTTATACCTGATAGAATGAAGAGAAGAGATTGACTAACAATAGTAAGTAGCAAAGGAATTGTACCAATATATACTATTTGTCAATTCTTGCACTTTAGTTCGAAAGTTATATCAATATGTTCCAACTAATGTTATTATCTCGCATAATTAATTATATTTATATTTAATTAATTGGCCTCTAAAGCATTTCTCCATAAAACAAAAGGAACTATTATACTCCCCTTTCGCAATTTTTAGGCGATGTTTATTCTAATTTTTAAGGATATTAAAACATCGGGTATTAAAGATTTAATTCTAGATTCGTTAAATGTATATTTAACTTGAGTCTCTTAATTTTCAGGTTATAAAAAAATTCAATGGTTACATTTTGATTCTAATTATCCGAACTATTACATTTCAAATTAAGGGTTCGTGCTCTTTACTCTCCTCAATCATACAATATAGTTTTTAAAAGTTATTCCTCATATTTAGTTACGAGTAACACCACATGATTGAATTGTGAGGCCAAATTTCATTTACAATAATAACTCATTCCCACAATGAATTTCTTATCATTGGTTCTCAAACTGCTAAAGAGAATTTAAAAATTTATATAATTTATCATATTCAATTAGTTTTATGAAATGATTTACACGATTTTTCATCTTTGAATTTTATTGTGGACAAAAAAAATTCTACTATTTGTTTATATAAATTCATATATTTTTTATATTTAATATTAAGTAAACAGTTTACTTAGTTCAAGTTGTTCTATTTATTAATGTGATTATATTGCACATTAAATTTTTTAAAAATTGATAAATTATATGGACGATAATTTTTAAACTTAAAAGGTTACAAATTTTCCATATAAAATCAACAACTATTAAGTAATAAAATATAAATATATGCAGGTAGATTTATTTACTTGATTAAAATATAATACTTCATTTAATCATTTGCCAAGATTTCCACAGATTAAAATTAAAAAACTAAAATAGACAGATATTTTAACAATCTACACCAAATTATACACAGTATAAGAGAGAGAATTATAATATAAATTAAGTTAATATTCGAATATATATAGAAATAAACATAATAAACTAACAAGTATCAATACGAGCAATAGGATGCACGCAGTTCTTAAAACAAACTAGATATATTCTTTAAATATATTGATTTGTTTTATTCATTTAATTTAAAAGACAATTTGATTGAAGGAGAGAATTAAAAAAAAAAAGTAAATCTTTCTTATAATATGATTATTTATTCATTTATGTATTGTATAATTTGAGGATATTTAAAAAATAATCAAGAAATACCCTCACTCTATAATTTAAATGCTTTTCCACATCTTTAATTTTAATATAACTATATTTTGAAAATTTAATTGTATAAAATAACTGAATAATAATAACTATGTAAAAATAGCAATCATGAACAGTTTGAACAATATATTAATTTTTAAAAGATAATTACTATAATAATTTTAAATAT